AAAATAGGCATAAAAAAACGGCAAAAAAAAAAGTGCCAAAACAACATCCCAATTTTCCAGCGCTTTCCAGTGGCGTGACATCACTGGAAGGCAGACAGGCCGACAAGGCAGTCTTCGAAATAAAACATGTGGTGAATTTTTTTTTTCGTGCTCTTGAGCCTAGTGCTTGAGTGACTTTCCACAGCATTGATTTCATACAATCAAACTTTTTCTTTTTTTATTCACTCTGAAACAAGTTTAGATGTCCATGCTGAAGTTGTCTGGGACCCTGTGCACCCCAACTTTGTTGTGCACCCTGTGCCTGCCGCTGAGTGACACATTCTAAATCTTGGCAGTAGAAATTTCCAGTAAAACACGGTGAAGACGAAACTTAGAAATACAATATCCTTTAAATAAAAAAAAAAAAAAAGAAAATCAGACGTCACATCGGAAGAACTAGTTCAGCCTATCGCTGACTTGAGTCAATTTTGAGGCAAATCAGTGACTATGAAAAAAAAAAAACGGCCAAATACATTTAACTAATAAAAAAAAGGGGGGGGGGGGGGACAGACACAAGGGAAGGGACAACATAACAATTAACGTCCTAAACATAGCTACAGATTTATTACGAAGCACCTACGTCGTTATCGGCAACCACAAAACTGAGGGTGCACATCCACTCTATCCCTCTCACTCCCCCTTCCGGGCTTCCCTTCCCCATTCTTTTCTGTGATGTGTAATAAAAGTTTTCAACAACAACAACGTCGTACACCGGACACAACAGAGGGACACCTCGATCTTCCCCCAGAAACCAAGAACTAAACAAATAAAAAAAGATCGCAAATCGGGCGGTAGTTCCAAGATGGCGGAAGAGACGGGGATAGAATCTCCAGGATATCCCGTGCGCCTGCTCGCTGACGCTGTTCAGCGCGCTAAAAATTACTTATTTGTCTACAAATGCGAAGCGGTTAGGGAGGGATCATATTACAGGTCACGGAGATGTTGATGAACGTTAGGAAAACGAGCATGCTGTTATTTAAAAGTTGCAGAAACCTTAAAGTGCGAAGCTTTGTGGTGAGCGAGCGCGTTTTAGCCACCGGCCACGTTACTGCTTGTGGCACAATATTTTTGAGGGTGATGAAGATATGTTTGCGCTTTGCCTGGCCATTCGTGCTCTAAAAAGAGAGCCCCAAACGGTAACCGTCAAGCTTCGGAAGAGCAGCAATACACAGTATTGGTGTCTTCGCGTCCCAGCCTCTCAAATCGCTGCTCACCGTCTCGGTTTTAGTGTATTGCAACACGTAATCAAACTGCTTTATGGTTATTGATAAAACGTTTATTACCGCAGGCTACCGTACGTGTAGCATTGCGACCGCAAGCTCGCGCTGCGCCTTTGAAGCACAATTTTCAGTGCGCGCCAGACGCGTTGCCGTGCTCATCACTCAAAAAAAAAAAAGTTGTAGTTTCTTGTCACATTTACGACACTTCAAAACTTCAGTTCGCCGTGCAGCCCACTGACGTCTAACTGACGGCCCCAACTTTTACGAGAGGCTTGATGACGGCGCAATGTAAGATATGAAACAGCTAAAGTAAGCATCAAAGAGTACCGAAAAACAAAACAAAAAAAACACCGAAAGTTTGCAGTAGGGCCAAAAAAAAAAAAAACGATTACTTTTTCTTTTTTTTTTTTTTATAGCCATTTACACTTACTTAAGCTATTTGAATAACTTGCACAACTCGTCTATCAAGCCGCTCGTGAAAGTTGGTAGCGCCGGTTGATCGTCAGTGGGCTGTACATCCAACTGAAGTATAGGGGTGTCGTACGCTATGCAAAAAACTGCCTATTAACATAATCGGCGTTTTTAGGTTTTTTTTTTGTTTATTGCTCTATCAAAAAACCGTACATTTGTTGTACCGTGTTATTCGCAACATTGCGGTCCCTCTGGCCAAAACTGCGCGTTCTAAGCTGTCGTCACAAACGGCTGGCTAACACAGACGCGCTTAAAATGCTTCTAGCATTTCTTTATTTGCTTTGTAATTACTTGAAAGCAAGTAAGGGTATTCTGTCATTTTTAAAGTGCTTGGAATAAATGGTCATGTTCCTTGTAACGGCCTCAAAACGCGAACCCATTCCCGATTTGTATTGCTCGACATACCGTTGCGCGACGAGTTTTCTCCTACTTATGGCAAAGAGGCTTTCGGTAGACCGTGCTATAGAGTTCTTCATTATTAGCGGGAGCGTTTTCCGTCACGTTGAGCACAGATTGAGCTGCCGGCCATGCACAAGACTAGAAATCCGCAGCATATGCGATACACGAAAGTCCCTAATGAAATTAGACCTCCCGGTCCTTTGTGCAAGGCTCTTGCTAGGCGGAGCACAAGCATTTCTTTCTTAACGCGCTCACTTTTTTTGTTAAAACGGCTTCACGCATCAAGGCCCAGAGTCCCTGCCACTGTTTCCACGCCGCCGTCGCCGCTGCCGTCCCCGCTCCTCTGGTTCTCCGTTCGGCCGCGGGAGGGCGAGCGGCGCGCTGGAGTTGCGACACTTATCAAATTTTCATATCCAAGGAGCTAAAGCAAAAAGCGAAAGTATGCAAGCGAGCTGTTTAGGAAACATAATAATCTAAACCCTAAGACAATGAAAAATCAAATAACGTCTTGTCCGTTATTTCATTTCTTCTTTTCTCAGGGTTTAGGTTATGATATTGGTTATCCAGATGGTAACCACCCTTTTGAATTGATCTCTTTCTTTACCAAAAACTTCTGTTGCACTCCGACCTCGTTGACACACTGCTGTTTTGTGCTTTTTAGATTACGGTCATTGACACAGCGCCCAGTTTGTCCAACATAGTCCAACATACGGGAATCTACAAGCCATATTGACCAGGGCTGTCGCGAAGTTTTGTCGAACCAGATATTTTGGTCGAACTTCCGGGGTTCGACTGGGTCGAACCGGTTCGACGAACCTTCGAACTTTTAACCAGATTCGACCGGTTCGATTTTGTAGACAGTGTGGCCAGACTTTTATAGAAGTATGTCTAAGTTTGGAGAAATGTTTTTTTATGCGAAGGGTTATTTTTAAATTTATGAACAGTTGCAATTAAAGAAACCAATTCTAATCACTGAAGAAGTTAATAACTTAATTGTTTTGTGCTGTATTAACTGAAATAACCATAGAGATCATACATACTAACTCTAGAGGAAAAGGTCCGCCATTTTCCCATACATTCTGGCTGCCGCAAGCGGCGGATCATGCAGGCAGACTCTCGGGGTCCCAAACACGGTTACATCATCAGAGCAGTTTCGTGAACTTCAACAATCCACGAACTTACCGGTGGAAAGATATGCGCGTTCCTTTCGAAGCTTTCTTTTTGCATAGCGCGCAGATATACGGCCTCGCGTTAACGCTAAACTCACTAAACTAAACCATATACCCGGCTTCGCCGGTGGGGCGCGGCTGGGCGCGGTTGAGGAATACGAAACTGCGCAACCACCAGATTTCCGGGATTTCGACAGAAGGGAAGTTAATGCAGCGTAATGACTTTATTGCTTTTTATAAGCGTTAGAATAGCTCAGAATTTAGTTTACAACGTTAAATTATCACTGTTTATATTGCTGAGAGTTTTCACTCTTCGCGTTTACCATGGCAACGTTGCTTTCTTTCTCTCGTGTTCTGTCGCTCTCTTTTGCGATCGTTCACTCGGGACCCCGGGTGTCGGCGCACGGGATTTGCCACTCCTCCTCGCCCACCTTTACCCCCCTGGAAATAACCAATCAGCCAACGTTACTAAAACACTCAGTTGGGAAACTCCCATAGAGACAGCCCTAAAAATATGGCCCCAATCTGTCTCCGAGCACCGAGCTCATGACGAACACAACGCCACCATATCTCCCGCAGCGGCCACTCGAGAAACTGCACGTGACTTCTATTTTTGGCTTTGACAGGGGACCCCCCTCTCCCCGGCGGACGCGCCGCGTTGAACTAATGAAGTTAAAATGCACCTAGGTCGGGACGCGCTACCTGAAAGGCCCGCTGAGGCATGGTTTTATAAAAACAATATTAATTGTTCCGCAAAACCTTGCGAACTAAAGATGATAAAAACATCACGAGCCCATCATTTGGTACTAAACTCCAATAAATTTCATACAAAAAGAGTCTTTTCTGTTTGTTTTTACGCAAAAAACAGGCTTTCAAAAAGCTCGAGGTGAACATAGTACAGACAAACGAAAAAGAGTGGCGCTGTTGTCGCATTTAGCTCGGTCTCGGTGGACGCCAGCGGCCCGGGTTTCGACGGCGAGTTTCCCAACTGAGTGTTTTAGTAACGTTGCAATCAGCGCTGCACTTAATTCATCTCTTAGCCATTATCATCCAATCCGAAGCCAACTGGCCCATAATAACTCTATGAACTGGCCAGCCTGTCGCGCCTGCGCACACGAGTCGAACCTCAATAAAAGGTTCGTCGAAATTTCCACCAAAAGTTCGAAAAAGTCGAACCTGGTCGAACTCGAACCGCGGCCGGTTCGCGACACCCCTAAATTATTGACCTCACAAATAGACGCCTCTTCAGAACTCAATGCCTGCATCTCTATGCTTTCCTTAATCACGCAAACCAAATGTAAAAAGGGAGAAAAAAAGAAAGAAATTACGCACATTACAAAGTTTACTATGATACTTTTTAACCCGAGACTGGGACAGAAGGAGGAAGAATATTTTACAGTGGGAGAGAAAACATTTTTCCTCCTGCCCCTGCTCGGCAGGTTTGGTATGCAAATAACTTTGCTCCTGTGTTTGAGATATTGATGTACCTTTTCTTGTATCCCGTGTATCTGGACGTTTTTCTAGTAATTATTCAGCATCGGCTCGCCTGCGCGTTAATTTTGGAAAACTTTCGATTGAACACTTCGCGTTCGATTTCTCGGTAGAAAAACGAAACCGAAACTCCGAAGCCGACGCTTGTGCCCTCTTGCGGTTGAAATAAGGACCTAAAGTGGAAGTTTTGACAGATACGCTGATACGCCAGATCCGCTGGATCCGCCTCAAGCAGGGCAATGACGATTTTTCTTTTGTATCTCCGAGTGAACTGGCGTGCGTCGAAGGACAGTTGCGAAGTCGCGAACAGTTGCTGACTAATCCCCTCGCGTCCCCCGAGCAGCGCGCAGAAAGACAGCGTCGTATCTTTTCGGTAATCCCTCAAAACAACGATACTCCGATAGGCCGAAGATAGGGACGACTTCGGTGGGCGTATTGAGATTCCGGCAAGCACCGTGCCCGCACGGACTCCGGGGGCTGGCGGCGAGACTCCAGGCGCACGCCTCGATGCAGCAGTAGCTCGGCGACAAGATTTTCAGGACGCTTTCGAGCCTCTCGCGATGGCGTGGACCAAGTACCAGGTGTTTTTGGCGGTCATGCTCGTCTTCACGGGCTCGATCAACACGCTGGCGACCAAGTGAGTGAGCTCGTTTTTGAACCCACCCCCTCGGCAAACTTTTCTTCGGGTCGCGTAACCGAAAGTGAGGAACGCTTATTAAATTTCAGATGGGCCGACAACTCGTACTCGGCAGGCAGGGACGGCATAGTGCGCCAATTCGACCACCCGTTTCTTCAGGTAAGAACGTTGCACCGCGGTGGCACTACGCCGTCCACGCGCCCGACTGTCACTTTATCCGGAGCGGTGACACATGCTGTCGGAGCTTTTTGTTTTTTTCTTTTTTCTTTCCCTCGACTGCCACAGCTGCGCGTGGTATATACGTTTGCGGTGGTACGGTAGCACGCTTCACCGGCGTGCGAGAGCTAATGAGGCCACTTACTTATCGACTTACCGCTGTGAAGCCTGGAAATCACCGATAAACCTTCGCCGGCAACGCAAGCACGAAATCAGTTGGCAATGGAACCTTTATCTGCGTTACCGTTTTTTGTTCCGATTGTTAGCGGTTAGGTCTGAACTTTCCGTTGAGTGGCAACGCTTTGAAGCTTTCTATCCACTTTACCATAGGTTATTATTTTTCGTTATTCTTGTCCACCTCGCTGCACCTTTGCATTGATTACTTTATAATACTGACGCCTGCAATTCACACAGTTGGACCTGTAGGGTGGCTCCGCCAATGATCAGTCTTGTGTACCAAGTGTGAAATAAAAAATGATAATGTGCAAAAGTTGAGGACGTTTCGTGACATGCACTTTATGCTCGACCCGTTACCATGTGATCAAGGTTTGTGCGGCTGGGAAGGTCCCGATGTAAGCAGTGTTACAAATGTATGAAACACGCGGAAAGCTGGCAGTAAAATATGCCATGTGGAGGAATTTGCCTGAACACTAAATCTGAAACACATGCAGGGCAGCAGTGTAGCCCAGGCATTGTTGAAAGACCACCATTTGCAACAACATTGAAGTTCTAATTATAATGCAATTAAATGCAAAGGTGCAAGCGAGCTGGACAAGAATGACGAAGTTTTCGTTATTTTAATGGGTTCCATAGAAAGAAAAGTCAGGCTAAAGTAGATCTGGAATCTCATGTTCCCTAAATCATCCCCAACAAGGGCATAAAAATATTTAACCGTCCAGAAGATACATTACAGGGAATATGTAGGCTGTAACAAGCTGGGGTAATATAAGACAGCAAGATACAGCAAGATAGAATACTGCTTCTAGCTTTGTCCAGCAGCATCTTATAATGTTGGTGCCAGGCACACATGGCTCGTGTTCTATTAACCCCTTGCCTACTAATGAGTGTCACTCATGTCACCGCTTACGGACGATAAAGCCCGACCACGAGTGTGAGTCGTTTTTCGGTTAAGGCATTTGCTTAGTGCACTCTCGAGCAGATGGCAAAACCATCCCTGTTGCTCCATTTACTTTCGGTTGTTTGCTTGTTTGTTGGGCTGTTTGACACAAAGAACACGCTCCATTTAGCCGAGGAAAAAAAAAAGTTGCTTGTAAGTGTTTTCACTAAAACAACGCTACTTTCGTGCGTAGGTCAGCTGAAGATATAAAGTCTTTTTGGAAGTGATGAATGCTGAGGCATATGTGACGACAAATCCTTCAGCCTTTCCGATTTTTTGGAATCAAATGATAGGTTGATGGACAGTGACAGGAGTGATGAAAACGATGTGAATTCTGCAAGCATTCCATCAACTTCGGCGTCTGTGCGTCAATGGGACTCAGGCCACAAGTCCTGATTTGGAGCAAGATACCACTTCTGGAAGTTGAGGAAATGTTTTTGCCTTATTTTAATGCAAATTGCCCATTCAAAAAATTAAGTTTGCTGTTTGTTCCTTGAAGAAAAAATGAGTACCATAGAATACCGTGCATCCGCCCATACCACATTAAGCGCCCATTCCCAAATTCGTAAAATCTGAGAACATATGCACAGTACATTGATATGTAGAATTGATGACCGGACAAGCGCCCATCCCCCATTTTTTCATGATTATCTCAAAATTTTGAGTGAGCGCTTGCCCGGTATTTTACGGTAGGCAAGGGGTTAAATGCAGTTTTTAGTATACCTACAGGGTGTTTCATAGCGGCTAGGCTCTTTAAATCGTCCACAAAAATCGGTTTCTTAAACCTATCGCGCAAAGATTTTGTGCTGCGTTGCCCACAGGTGATGCATTTTTTTCTATAAAATTTGTAAAAGGCGAATTTACCTGAGGAAAAAGTAATAAAAAAAATTAAAAAAAGGCTTAAAGGAGGACCAGCAGAAATATTCTTCCGCCTGGCGGAAAGTCCTCCTCGCCCTCTTTCTTTCTTGTATTGTAGCACGGCGAGGCGAGGGGAAAGGTTCCCCTTTGTGCCGGCTTCTTCTGAGAGGATAAGCCGAGAAAATCCCCATTCTGAGCGACGGGCGATGGGTGCGGCAGCAGCGACCTCGTGACTTACAGGTAGCTTCAGCTCCTATCGCGTAATCTGCCCCATTTTTTGGCGCTCACCAAGCCTAGTCCCTCGGGTGTAGGTTTTACGGAGCTGCAAAGCTGCGCTTCAGCTGTCGAAGGTCTTTGGTTTAGCCTGTGGTAAAATGAACGCATACTTGAGAGCTGCGATGCATCCCGCACCCATTGAAGGAAAGTTTCATAGATATTTTTGGTTGATCAAGGAGCTCAAAAGACATGCGCGAGAAGTGGTGACGAATATGTAAGGATGAGTTACATCTTCACAAAACATTCCATCTTCAAAAAAACGGCTTATCACGCTCAAACCTGCCTCAAATTGGGATCGATGGAAAAGAAAACGATGCACCAGGCGCGGGCATCTTCTAGAAGGTCTCTGTTTTCTAGAAGCGAGCACAAATTATTGGAGAACTTTAGCAGACTATGTTTTCAGGCCACGCTATATCTAGCGAGAGCTCGCGCTGCCACTTCGATGCATTCTCTGAAGCGCGCGCCTGAAGTGGCAGCGGGCCTTTGAAAACGATTTACTAAAATGCCCTGTTGTGTGCCTAACTCGCGGAGCATGATGGCCAGCAAAATGTATGAAATTCATATTTACACATTCCCAACAACCACCTGAGTTGAGAGGGCATCAAGGGTGGATGTCAATTTCAGAAAGTTTTAGTGGGTCGCTTAGCCACTTAGATAACCGTACGGTCCGAACCCCAGAACGAAATGTCAGCTAGACTCACTCTTTACATTCCTTATTGATTACGGCTATGGAGCGGAAAAGACAATATTAAAACCGTTTTTGGCGAGTCTAGCGTGTCGTGTTGTGGTTCAACGTTGCTTGTATCGGTACCATAGCACGGGCCGCCACTTCGAAGTATTTGTGGTGTCTCAAAGAAACTAAAGCAAAAGCAGACAATTTTTTTTTAACGTGACACAGAATTGTATTTAACATTGTAAAAAACTTTTCGGTACCCTACGCCACGCAGTTAGCACAAACTATCGCCGGTGTTTCCCACTTTTTTTTTCTTGTTAAAAGTGAATGATGTTTAGGAAACTGTTAATGCGAGTATCCCAGCTAAGCGGTAGATTTTAGTGCGAGTCGATACATTGCTGGGGAAATTAGCAAAAAGCGCCGATGTCGTGTTTGCGCTAACAGTGTCGCGTAATGTACGCATACCGCTGCACAATCAACGCTAACGGAGTGAATCCGTAAATTTAGTGGCCCCCAAAAAAGTGTTGATATTTTGTTTTATTTTTATGGTTGAAAAGTTGTTATTTTTAAACAAGCAATTCGGTAAAGAGTGCTTTCGTTGGCCACCAACTTACGAGGCATCAATTTGTTCTTATACACTAAATTCTGCATGGCCCTTGCGTAAAAATGTCAATATTGTGTTTGTGCTAGCTGTGTCACGCACACTAAGAAGACCAGTTCATTGCTCGAACATTTGAACAAGGCCTTTCTTACGCTCTCTTACGCAAAATAGACGTTTTGCGAGTACGCTCTATTACTGGTGGTTCATAAAATAATCTACGTTGTTTATTTAGAGGAAGGAAGTGGTGGTGAAGGGGGGGGGGGGGGGGATTGAATACAAAAGACGACTCAGGGAACCTCGAACTTTGTAAATATTTCGCTCAACCTATAATCCTGAGCTAATTAAATCACTTTTGCTTTGACTGTTTTAGAACTTGTTAACAGTTGCGCTAAAGGCCAAGATGAGCGAAAAGTCAGATGCCCCTGTTTATTTGAGCAAGAAGCTTATATATGCGAGATAGAACTGAAAAAACATACGAGTGTAACCGTAGCAATCTCCGACCAAGCCTGAACCTCACTTTTTCGCCATTTTATCGAAAGTCGTTTCATCGAATGAACGGACATTTCATCGAACGCCGTTTCATTGAATCGCCAAGGGCCGTTTCATCGAATTTCTCTGTTATGGCTCTGTACCGAGTTTTGGGGCATAACAGTGCTTTATAGATGTTTCACCTTGCATTTGTTAAGACTAAGGTAGTCACTTGGAAATTGTTTTGAAGGTGGTGTCAAATTACTAAAAATAAAAGCAATTGGCATAAAAAGAAATAAAAACAATTGGGTATGGGACTTACTGAATATCTTTACTCATGTACATACATGACTGAAACGACGACGCTGCAAATAAAGGACAGACACTTAAAACGCTTTTAAGTGTCTGTGCTTTCTGTTTTTGCCTCATTTTTAATTGTTTGATGTGACATGGAGAGGGGTCATTGTTTCATGGAGGCTTTCTTGAAGCAGGATAGGTTCATGATGGAACTTATCTTGCCACTGCACCCAGTGATATAAAAACACTAAAAAAAGAAGAAAAAAAGAGAGAATTAGATGAAGTTGTGTATAAAAATTAAAGTAAATTCCAAAATATTACAGACTGTAACGTTGTTCGATGAAAAGGCGTTCGATGAAACGGCTTCTGTGAAACGGCGTTCGATGAAACGGCGTTCGATGAAACGGTGTTCGATGAAACGGCTTCGATGAAACGGCTTTGATAAAACGGCAATCAATGAAACGGCGTTCGATGAAATGTCCGGACGCACTTATAGCGGTACGCGTGCATTACGTGGCACTTTTCGCCCGAACGCGACATCGGCGCTTTTTACTATTTCTGCCCAGCAACATGTATTGTCTAGCACTGAGCTCTGCCACTTAGGTTGGATAGTTGCATTGACAGTTTTCAAAACATAATTTATTTCTAAAAAAACAAAATTAGAAAGACCGGCAATAGTTTGTCCGTGCTGTGTTGCAGTATACCTAAAATGTGTTTGCAAAGACAAATTACAAACACGTATCATGTTAAAAAAAATCGGCTACATTTAATTTATTTTTTTTTTATTTTTAATGCCTCAAAAATACTTTATAAAGTGGCAGCACGTGCTATAGCACCGATTTAAGCAACGTTGAACTATAACATCAGACGCTTCGATAGCCGCACTCGATCAAGAATGCTCACAGAAAGGTTATAGCTTATATATTGTTGTAGGGTGCGGTTATCTAAGAGCTAAAGACGATCCACTAAAACTTTTTAGTATCAACACACACCACTGCTTTCTTCTCACCTCATGTGGTTGCTGGGATGCGTAAATATAAATGTCACCTACATTCGTTGGCCATCATATAGTGTGAGTTACGCACATAATATTCGTGCTCGCTGCTAGAAAACAGAGACCTTCTAGAAGATGCCCGCGCCTGGTAGATCGTTTTCTTTTCCATCAATCTTAATTTGAGGCAGTTTTGAGCGTGATAAGCCGTTTTTTTTTTTTTTTTTTGAAGATGGAATGTTTTGTAAAGATGGAAGTCATCCCTACATATTCAAGTCACCACTTCTCGCGCATGTCTTTTGAGCTCCTTGATCAACCGAAAATATCTATGAAACGTTCCTTCAACGGGTGCGGGGATGCATCGCAGCTCTCAAGTTTGCGTTTTTTTTGCCACAGGCTAAACCAAAGACCTTCGACAGTTGAAATTCGGTGACTGCGCGGGCGCAGCCTTGCAGCTCCGTAAAACCTACACCCGAGGGGCTAGGCTTGGTGAGCGCCAAAAAATGGGCAGATTACGCGATAGGAGCTGAAGCTACCTGTAAGTCACGAGGTCGCTGCTGCCGCACCCATCGCCCGTCGCTCAGAATGGGGATTTTCTCGGCTTATCCTCTCAGAAGAAGCCGGCGCAAAAGGGGACCTTTCCCTTCGCCTCGCCGTGCTACAATACAAGAAGAAAGAGGGCGAGGAGGACTTTCCGCCAGGCGGAAGAATATTTCTGCTGGTCCCCCTTTAACTCCTATGGAAACACAGCGGAGCCACCGGACTTCAAACAGTAGTGCGCCGTTTGGCACGAGAGACGAGAGATGACACAAGCGTTTGCGACGCTAACTGCTGCCAACGAATGAGCATCGGCACCGAGAGCCAGCGTCAACTATAGCAGACGGTATTTTCAACTCAAAAGCGGCGCGAGCTTTTTCAATGTCAGTTGCCAATGCACAATTTTATTCTTACTTAAAATACTTTGGACAGATAATCAGTTAAAAAAATAATTTGTCGGGTTGGTTTGACTGTTTTCGTTTTTGGGTTAATGTCGTTGATTTGCAGTTCCTTGTTGTTACCGCTCCTGTTTTTGATTCTGCAACTGTCGCCACTGACGGAACGCGCGCTGCTTTTGAGTCGAAAAGACTGTCTGCTAATGCCACTGGCTCTCGGCACCGTATGCTCATTCATTGGCGGCAGTTGGCATCGCGACCGCTTGCGCCATCCCTTGTCTCACGTGCCAAACGGCGCTCTATTGTTTGAAGACCGGTAGCTTCGCTGCACTTCTATAGGAGTTAAATTAAGCCTTTTTCTTTGTTTCCTTTTTCCTCAGGTAAGTTTGCTCTTTACTAATTTTCTAGAAAAAAGGCACCACCTAAGGGCAATGCTGCACAAAATTGTAGCGTTAAGAAACCAATCTGTGCGGTTGATTAAAGGAACCTCGTTGCAATTTGAGACACCCTGTACATAAATAAGTTTAAGGAATTTAATACTCAAATTCTGCTAGGCACCTCTGAGATCAAGCTGTGAATAAATAAAATGCTGATTTTGTTAGCTGCTTAAACTGCTCATGCTCTTCGCTTAGAATGCAGATGCAAGACAGCTTCATGTACACTGCACAACACTGTGCAAACATAACACCGACGCCTTTTTGCATCTTGCTTAGAGGGGATATTGCCCAGTAAAGATGGTGACCATGATGAGCACATTCAACCACACTATAGTTTAAAGACATCTTTTTAGATGCAAAACGGAAATGGGGAAAAACGGTAGACTGCTCATTCATGCTGTGTCGCACTCTGCAGATAATACATCTTGACGATTCATGTTTGATTTGATGGGCAAGAAATTATCTGCTTGGGTTGGAATATGCCCAACATTATCAGAGATGTCGTATGAAGCAGGAGCTGGCACCCTCTGTAAGCAACACCGCAGACCTCATGGTTACCACTCTGGCACCGAACTGGAGCCCAATAACAATGTGTGGTGGCTACCAAAAGTATGCATGTCCACAAAATCTGAGCCCACCCTGACCTGTATAGTCCGCATAGAGAATCCTCCCACAACGTGGTGCACCTTTGCTACTGCCATAAGATTGAGCTACGAAAATCGCTTGACTGGAAGCATCACTTTGATGCCTCCTGTCGAGTGCCGCCATTATTGTACGGTGCTTGGAACGCATCTCCAACTGGTGCTCTTACTGCATCCTCATTTGTGGTCCTTTGATTTCTTCCTGGTGATGTCTTGCTTGTGTCGTGCTGTTGCCCGCCGCAATCCTGGCGGTCATGCAGCAGCGGAAATGTAGGCCACGGACGCTTGTTCTGCTGAGGCTTGTTCTGAAGCCAGACAGTGGACGGAAGTTTTAGCTGTCAGGAGTTGGTACGCCGCAATGACGTCGACACTGGTGTTTGCACATCTTTGTAGCCTAAACTTCTCCGCCCAAGTGCCAGGATCGCAACATTCGACAGCATGACACTGGCTCCAGCGATGTCATTTGTTGCAACTTCGCGATGCACAGTGTGCAAGTCGTCTACTTCTTGCGAAGGAGTTGCAGTGGTGTCAAAACGATGCCGAGCTCTGTTTGGCTTTGATTGAAAGGATAGCGGGTAGATTTTAATGCCAGATACCTCGAGGTCTACTCGCCATTTTTTTTTTAATCTGCCAATACGAGCTCTGTGTTCTGACGTTATCACCACTCCTGTGCAAGAAGCAGATGAGCTTGCATAGGATGCTAAACACACCGGTTGAAGATGTGCTCTGCGCATTGTATTCAACATGACCCTGTGCACTGCGATGTTCTGATGACCTTCTCGTGTCCCAGATGGTGGGCGTGTTCTTGGGCTGTAAGCTGGAAACCGCCCGTTTATATTTTCGATAACTTTAAAATGTATCCCTCCCTCATCTAATGCCCCTGAATGGGGCATTTAAAGGGATACGAAGACGAAATTTTAGCGCTCATTTTTTAGCTTTAATGTGTTGCATGTTGCAGCATAACCTCAAAAACACCAGTCTTTCGTTGAAAGGCGTAAGAAAATTAAATTTAAAGCTAATTAAACAATCTTTTAATGTGCACCTGGTGGATGCCTGTAAAGCCTATTTGGGAGGTGATCTAGCAATGTTGGGGATCTTGCTACATAGACATAGCAAGAACCGGTATGTAGCCCCACTAAACATCGGAGCAGCGCCGCTCTTTGGAAGTATGCTCACGATTTTTCTACTTTTTCCTTCTTGGCTTTCCTCCTGAACTCACAAATCACACATTGTACCAAACAATTAAAGAAGACTTCAAAGCGCGGGTCCCCTCTTGCTGGGACCCTCGTTTGTGTACCCGGACATTGCCATCCTCCCCCTAGGAGATTAGCCCGTCGCTCAAAACTCTGACAAAAGTTGCTTTCTCCACCCCGTTCACCCCTAAGCTGACAGTGCTGTGGAATGTAGCTGGCTCGTTGGGCCAGCTACACTTTTGCCACGTGATCACGCTCCCTCGTGCATACCCATGCGCAGAGAATGTAGTCAGGTGATGAAAGGGAGGCGGCTGATTGGTCCGGCAAGCGTATAGCTTCCGCCACCTTGTCAGCTGAGGGTTACCGGGGTGGGGGAGCAATTTTCGTCAGCGTTTTGAGCAACAGGCTGATCATCTAGGGGGAGAATGGGCCACGTGAATGTGACGTGCACGACGTTCGTCACCCCACGGGTACTTTGAACGGCTCGGTTGTGACGTGTTGACACCACCATAACGCCAGCAATGGCAAAGCTCATAACCACTCCAGCCTTACTACGTCACAAATGCTGTGAATTTCTTTTTTTGTTTGCTTTGGATGTCCCATGACGCATCATGGGTTCACTTCTTTTCGAGCGCTTGCTGGAGTGCACCGTTTGGAACGAAAAATATAGCCAGTCGTTCAAAATGTAATTGTGCGACTATCATTTATGGTTATTCGTCATGCTCGACTCATTTTGGAACGAAATTTGTATATTTCAATTTTCGTTTCCATACCCCTTTAAGGGTGCAAGCAATGAATGAATGAATGGAATGTCCCAGGCTGTGGGCATGTTCCTGGGAGAGCTGTCCTGCCTGCTGGCCTTCAAGCTGGTGATGTGGCACTATACGCGCAAGGCCAAGAGCGGCGAGGCGGTGGAGCTGCCGCCAAGCGTGACAGGCAGTCGGGAGTTCAGCCCCCTCATCTTCCTGCCCCCGGCCATGTGCGACCTGGTGGGCACCTCCATCATGTACGTGGGGCTCAACCTCACCTATGCCTCCAGCTTCCAGATGCTTAGGGGTGAGTGTCCTCCGGCCTTCTCTCTGCCGCGGCAGGCAGGCGCCTCCGCTCGGCTTCCCTTCCCCACCTCGAACTGCGGTAGGAGAGGGAATGCTGCGACTGCCCGCTATGGCTCTTCTTTCGTGGGGGTCTCAAAACCTTTAAAAAACCATCAGGCTTGAAAATGTCAGGCTGCAGAAGGCACTGCACAGCATGACTTCTTCTTAGTTAATGTGGTATCTGGAGTAACAGGCCGATGGGGTTCTTCGCTGGCACATCTTTATTGCAGGACTACCGGAGTACGACACATAGTCACGGGCGTGAGAGAGCGGCAGGATAGCAGCGGGTGGTGCAAACGGTGCGCTGGCTCAGATAGATATGGCGCCCAGGAACAGTGGCGCGAGACGCACGAGCGCGCGCTAGCTGTTGCCCGCTTATTGTGTCACCCATACAACACTCCCCCACACTTAGTTCAGCACAGTAATACCATTCGACGGCGTTCCAGTGCAATACTCACAAAGTAACACGATATGACAATTTAACAAAACACGAGAATAATTGAAGTTCTGGAAAGTACAAAGTACAGACATACTAAATACAAAATAATTACAGTTCTGAAAAAAAACACAAAGTCCTCGTCTTTTTCTCTTCCTTCTCAAGGCGAAAACCTATTAGGCGCACGCCGTTGCCGTTCGGGATACCGGCGCTGAATTTCTTGCGGCTGGGCTGGGGAACGACCGGAGACTGGAGTTGGTCCCATGTCTTGTCCCTCTACCACCGGTGACCCAACTGGAGGCAGCTCGTTCACGAGTCCCCCTTGCCCTGGGGTTGGCGATGATGGCAGGACACTCGGTATCAGCAAACCACCTTCCTCCTCCTCTGGGGTAGAGCTCTCCCGCAACCGCAGGTGGTCTTGGTGTCGCCGCCACACGAAGGTCCCCCGCGGTGTGGTCACGCGAAGCCTGTAGGAGACCGGTCCGGATCTAGCCATGACGACTCCGTGCAACCACCTCTCACCCGGCCGGAAGTTCTTGACGTACACCTTATCACCCGGCACGAAGTGTCGGTGTTTGCCACTGTGCTTCACCTGTAGCACGTCCTGCTTGCGGTGAACAGTTTCCTCTGCAGAGGGTCGCAGTCTGTCGAGACGGGTAGTGAGCCGCCGCCCAAGCAGCAACTCCGCAGGACTCTGAAGGGTTGTGGCGTGCGGTGTGTTTCTGTAAGCTAACAAGAAACTTGCTAGTCGACGGGACAGAGGCCGGCCCGGCATCTCTTTTCGTAAGGCCTCCTTCAGGGTGCGGATGAAACGCTCAGCCAGCCCATTACTTGATGGATGGTAGGGGGCGGTCCTGACGTGCCTCACACCGTTCTCTCGCAAGAAAATCTGAAATTCTTGGGAACAAAATTGGGGGCCATTGTCACTGACAACAACATCTGGCAGACCGAAATGACTAAACAGCTCCCTCAGCTTTTCAATAGTTGCTTCGGCCGATGTGCTGTTCATCACAAAAACCTCGGGCCACTTGGAGTGGGAGTCGACGCTCACGAGAAAATGACGGCCCTGGAAAGGTCCCGCAAAATCCAAGTGCAGCCTTTGCCACGGACGAGTTGGCCAGGACCACGGATGCAGCGGGGCTGGACCTGGAAGACTCTGCTGCTGTTGGCAGGTATCACACGACCTGACGCGATATTCAATATCCGCATCGACCTCCGGCCACCATACATAGCTGCGTGCCAGTTCTTTCATCCTTACAATTCCAGGATGCCCTTCATGCAGCTCGTCCAGTACGCGTTCGCGCAGTCCCTTCGGGATCACAACCCTCATTCCCCACAAAAGGCAATTCTGGTGCCACGTCAGCTCGCTTCTTCTTGCAGAGTAACGCTTCAGACAATCTTCTACTTTTGCGGGCCACGCACCGGCAAGGAACCTTGCCACTTGACAGAGCTCTTTATCTTTTGCTGTAAATTGTGCGATCTCTTGGCGGCTTACCGGAAAAGACTGCAGGCGGAGACTGAGAAACGCCGCGACGTCATCCTCGTAGTCTTCATCCTGAAACCCAGGAACTGGAAGTCGTGACAAGCAGTCCGCCTCCACGTTGAGTCGACCCGGTCGGTAAACCAATCGGTACTGATAGGCGGAAAGGGTAATAGCCCATCTCTGCAGACGTGCGGCAGCAATGCTCGGAATTCCCGTCTTTGGACCAAGAATGGTTTGCAACGGTTCGTGATCAGTGACCAACACGAAGGATCGTCCAAACAAGTAGATGTGAAATTTCTTCACGCCAAACACAATAGCCAGTGCCTCCTTTTCTAGTTGGCTGTAGTTCTTTTCACTCGATGTCAAGGTTCTCGACGCAAACGCGATAGGCCGTGTGTCGCCGTTGGAGTACACCCTGGACAGGACGGCTCCGAGACCGTATGCCGAGGCATCACATGACACCTGAAGGTCTGCCTTGGGGTCGTAGTGTGCCAGGACAGGTGCGTCAACCAGAAGCCTCTTCACCATGTTAAAAGCGTCTTGACAGCGCTTGCTCCAGGTCCAGACGACATCTTTTCTTAGTAGCTCGTTCAGCGGTGCTATTGTGGTCGAGAGGTCTGGGAGGAACTTTCCGTAGAATGTCACTCCGTAGAATGTAGAATGTGAAAAGGTGGCCCATCTTCTCCCAGTACGTGAAGCGGAAGTTTTCCTTTGAAGTCTCGGTACTCTACGTCCACCGTCGCCACTCCTTTTGGCTTGACACGCTCGCCGGTGTACGTGCGCAGTATTAGTGACGCCGGAGACAGCTCTGTGCGAGGAAACAACGATTGGAACTGGCGTTTCGAAATGATAGACACGGCAGCACCGGTGTCTAGTTCCATCTGAAGAGGAGCGTTCCCGACCTTGAGCGTGTAGTAGAACGGTGCATTCATGTTTCTGTCTTGAAGCCCGTATATCGCTTCACTCTGTTCTTCCTCAGCGGAGAAGTTTCTGAACTGTTTTGCTCTGCCTGGTGTATTGGCCAGTGATGCTTTACAGAAACGTTGGATGTGACCCTCACGGTTGCAGCGATAACAAATAGCGTTACGGTGCGGGCATGACGAGGCAATGTGCTTAGGGGACCCACAACGGAAACATTTGTCCTGAGCCCCCACTACCGCTTTCGGTTTCACCGCCGTCAGTTTCTGCAGTTCGAGTTGGTCGTTGTCCGCCTTATTATGACACGCCTGCACATTCATGGTGGCTCTTTCAATAGTTAACGCTTTTTCCACAGCTTTCTTGAATGTCAGGCTCTCATCTTCGGCAAACAAAACTCTCTGAATGTCAACACGACTCAGACCGCTGACGAATCTGTCTCTGAGGGTTTCTTCCAGGTTACTTCCAAAATTGCACGTCTGTGTCATTCTTTTGAGCTCGGCGACATATTTTCCGACCGATTCCCCTTCCTGTTGTTCTCTCTCTAAAAGGCTCGCAACCTTTCCTCGTAGGATAACCAATCACACTTCGTGTCATCAAAAGGTTCGACTTGCCCGAATAAGGCCATCGTGACTGCCTTCCGGTCCTCTGGTCCTTGATTCAAGATGCCAGATACTGGAACATCAGTTGAAAGGCCCTCAGTTGCTGAGTCGTCCGACGGTCTCTGCATCCCGTTGTAGCAGCGAAATCCGTGTCCTCGTCGCCACTGTGTGGTATCTGGAGTAACAGGCCGATGGGGTTCTTCGCTGGCACATCTTTATTGCAGGACTACCGGAGTACGACACATAGTCACGGGCGTGACAGAGCGGCAGGATAGCAGCGGGTGGTGCAAACGGTGCGCTGGCTCAGATAGATATGGCGCCCAGGAACAGTGGCGCGAGACGCACGAGCGCGCGCTAGCTGTTGCCCGCTTATTGTGTCACCCATACAACAGTTAAGTCCTTGAAAACTTTGGAAAGTCCCCGATTTTCAAAATGTAACTTTCAAGGCATTGCAAACTCTGGCTCCTTTCTTCCGGCATCGCCATGAGAAAATTAGAAACGGGAAGTTTAGTTGTCCTTTGGGAGACAGAAAGTCGCAGAAAAAGCTTTTGTTAAGTGGCTGGATACGATGCGTAATGTCCCGAAATGAATTTTCTTCGAAAAAGGCTGGTGCACATGTTTGCCTCGGGACAAAGTTGGGAGTGATTTCCAAACCACCTTTTGTTTCGAGGTCGACCTCTCAAAATGGAATTATGCTTCCAAATTGCGCCCAACTCAAAATGTGTCTGATATTGTACTCCAAATAATTTTTTCTTAATTTATTTTTTACAGAGAAAGTTACTTTTGGACACATCTGTCCTGTGTGTGTACTTAAAAAAAAAAAATTATGAAGCGAAGTATTTGAGCGGAACATTACACCTTCTAGAGAGATCCTCTTAGAAAAAGTTTCGAGCCGGGCGATCGTAACCGTCCCACGGCTGAACATTGTGCGTCCCACCCCCGTAATTTACAGGGGCTGTGATCATCTTCACGGGGCTGCTGTCGGTGGCCTTCTTGGGACGGCGGCTACGGGGCTACGAGTGGGTGGGCATCATGCTGGTCATGTGCGGCCTGGTGGTGGTGGGCCTCTCGGACATCCTCTTCCCGGACAGCAGCACGTCCTCCAAGGGCACCAACAGCATCATCACAGGTGAGATTCAACGCATTACTCGTCTCGTTTGGATGCACAAACGTGTTGTCTGGCTGGCTTCCATCTGCTTCCTGTAACAAAAGGGAATCGCTCGAGTGCTGCAGCAGCATTCAACTAAACTTGTGTCCAGTCTGCTCTGTGCTGGTCTCTGGTAGGCGAGGTGTTGAGTGAGCACACTCACACATGGTGGGAGTGTATGCGGGAGGCGAGGGGGGGAAGAAAGCAGGCACATTCTTCGGGAGAAACGAGGAAACGTGAAACTTCTCAATCTTCTGGAGCGTTAGCTCTGGCAGGGCTTTCTTTCAGAGATGCTATACATGTTTCCAAAAAATGTCCTAAGCCGCCGTCATGTTGCTGATGCTGATGCGGATGGTGAGACTCTAGCGCCCTCTATCAGCCAGAAATTTTCTGGCACTCTCTTAGACTGTGAAGAGCCCTCAGCGCGGTTCTCTACCTACGTTTCTGCGGTTTTGCATTCAACGTTTTCTAGCCCCTCTTGAAAGTTTCCACTTAATTTTTTTATACGTGCTGCGTGCCCTTTCTGTGTTATCTTACATTGTGAGAAATAAGGCTGTTAAGTGGTGAAGGACGTCAAACGGCCCTCGACGCGATTTTGCGAACATTGTTCTCCCCCCTCCCAGAGATAATCCGCGTAGAATCTTCAATCATCTCCAAAAATAGTTGTCCGGGTTGGGGTGGGAAACGGGTCAGTCGCGTTCGTTCCTTTGCCTTGGTGCTGTTGTGAAAAATGGAAGCTCTTCCCAAAACGTGCCCCAAAATGAAGTCATCTGGGATTTCGTCCGATCGTCAAGGTGTGACTGTCGTCAACTGTGACTGTTATTTGAGATCTTTCTCAAATAAATTCTTTTTAGATAACGCTGCATCGTGTGGTACGTACAATATATTGTTCCAGTGTTAACACTCGCTAAATTGTATGTCAGTGTCCTGTCCATCGGTAAACACGTACGTTATTTGCGAGCGTGAAAAATGCATGCCTTTCGGCTCTTTTATCTGTTATAAATTATTTTCGACAGCTAAGCGCTTTTCGTTTGACATCTAGCAAATCGCACAGCGCTGTCAACACTTATCGTAAAAAAAACAAAAAAACTGGTTTTATACATTTTAGTCGCATTCGTTCTGTCGCGCGCATACCCAACAAAAATAGTTGATAGGTTTTTTATTGCTTTTTGTTTTTTTTCAAATGTGGTACAATGCTTTCTCACTGACCTCGGGAAAATACATGCACCATGAAACACAAAATACAGCGGTAAAAGATGAGAATTTAGCCGCGAGCAGTGTTTGAAACTGCGCCTATCAAAATCACAGTCCACTCGGTTAGGGTTAGCAGGGACGCTGGTAAGAGTTTAGCCTCAAACCCAGTGACTGGGCTCGAAAATGCTGCCCCTGGGGTCGAGTGTTTCTCGGAAAAGTGTATACACTAGAAAATTTGCGCCGCCGAGGCACCGAGTGCTTATGGGTTCATCTCTGCGATATCTCCGGAAACCGACACTCAATACATTCTGCGTTACTTCTGCCTTTATATGATAGTGCTGAAAAGGGGCTAATATTTTCTATAGAAATGTATGGAATCAACTAATCGAAACATTCTTAATCATCTGGGGCCGAATTAGCCTAAATTTACTGTAGCAGTGAAGAGTCTAAAGTCTGATATAGCAAAGATATATCGGTGTAAAAGTGAAGTTCAGGCATATGCTCGTAATCTAGTTACTAGCATGCTTTTTTTAACCAGCGCCTTGAATGCACAGGCATTCAAGGTGCCATTACTAACATTACTGCATGGGAGGATGGAATAGATAGATGATAAAGAATTGTAAGTCTAAGGAGGATGGAAGTGATAGCTGAGTTGCAACAGAGTGGCCATCACAATAACCTTACAATATTTCAGGTGACCTGCTGATCATCCTGGCGCAGGTGATCACGGCAACCCAAATGGTGATTGAAGAGAAGTTTGTCAACAAGTACAGGGTGGCTCCACTGCAGGCAGTTGGGTGGGAAGGTCTGTTTGTTTTTACCAATGGTGGCATCGCTGGGCGAAACTTTGACACCAGTCCTTTTTTATCCCGCGATGATGCAGGCTTCTTTGGCTTCGTGGTGCTGAGCCTTCTGCTGGTGCCGATGTACTTCATCCCCGTGGGCAATACCATCTTCCAGAACCCGGGAGGGCAGCTGGAAGATGCCATTGATGGCTTCTATCAGATCTACAACAGCTGGCAGGTGGCTCTCGGAGTCTTGGGTGAGCTTTCTGGCAGAACGGGCCGTGGCAAGACAAACAATTCGTCTGAGAGCTACTCCTGGCCTTCGCTATAGCACTGTCCTGGACTGTGCAAACATAATCGCTAGATACGAATCCTGGCCACTCTTGCAGTCGTGAGAAGCCTGCCGTATGTAGTAGCAGAGATCAGTGTGAATTGCAAAGATGCTTGAAATTGGTAGAAAGACCTTGGAAGGAAACCTCCTGGAGAACTTTAGAGTGTCAGCTAATGTTTCATTAAGAGACTCGTTCGGCGAGGTCTCTTAGGCCTCAGGAAAATGGCAGTTGGCCACCCTGAGCTTTCCAGCTAAATATCTATTTTCAAGCTTTGCTGTACAGGTTTGAATTTCCTTATTACGTCATTCAGTGACTGAGCCTCTTGAGAGGCTAGCTGGCACCAACACTTCCTGTTCGTTGCACCTCTTCATATTGTCTGGGAGAGTTTGTAGTTCACAATCAGGAAAATGGCCTAGTGTATTGTATTGGTTCACCACTTTTGGAGCAAAATCACTGGCTTGCTTTGTCTACATGCAAGATATCTGCTAAACTATCAGAGAAGAGGCTGGTGTGGTAGTTGGAGTCATTCTCTTGTGACTTAGTGGCGCAATGTGCTCATGCTTTTTTTCTAAATAGAACCGAGAAACACACTGTTCGATGATGTTTCTTCAAATTGTACAGTTTGCTGCCTACAAAAATGGAGAATATGTTAGTCATGCAGTAGCATGCACACTCTGCAATGCATCTTTATGGTGTAAATAGGTAGTATTATTAATTCGGAATATGGGTGACCATAAAAGTGGGGGACGTGTCGATATTTAGCACAGTCGAGTCATGCGGCACTGTCTACAGATGTTACGATTTCCAATGTTGACGGAGCAGTTGTCTAAACGAGCCGAGCCACATCTTTGAATGTTGCAATGTTTACCTGCCAAGACAATTGCTGATGCACATAGCTGCCTTCAGAAAGATGGGCCATTATTTTCACATCAGGCTTGTGGGAAAGTTGCCTTGCTGCATGCCCAACCCGGCGGAACAACACGGATCCAGGATTTCGGAAAACGTGAAGCTACATTTATTAGTAAATTGTAAACATGAAGTTAGTATTAACAAGGTCGTTGGTCGACACCGCCGCAGCGTGTACCTTTCCTTTCGCCCTTCTTGTGAGTTCCTGTATTGCGCGAACATATTGAACCAGGTTTTCGTTCGGATGTTGCATTCAGGACTCGAGTTCTCTCAGAATTTGATACTCGTAACCAGGGGGCAGGAACTCATCTCGGAATCTCCGTCAAACTCCGCTATGCTCGTGAACAGGCTTCAAGAACTAGCTGAACAAGAGAGCATTTTAAATGAGCCAGGCACAACAAAACTTTCCATGACATTTTTTTTTTCTATTTCTGCTTTTTCGTTTCACTGCAATAACCTCAATCTGAAACCTGGTCACTGTGCTCATGTCATCACTTCAGAGCTGGTAGCACGGCATAAATGTTAAATGAAATTGCTTGTTCTTACAGTATGCATCCAGATTCAGTCAACACAGGTGGCAGGTCATCAGAGTTTGCGCATTTTCATTACAGGTTTGACTAATCGGGGACAAGCCTGACGAAACTCTACAAAATAAGAGGGAGAGCACGATTCTCGAAACATAGTTGCCCTCGGTCTCTACACAGCTGTTTTCCTGGGCTGCTAAGCTACCCATGTTTCATACTCTCTTCAGAGCATTGAGTGTGGGCTCTTTGCAGGCACCATCGCAAGCATTTCCTTCTTCAACTTTGCCGGCATCAGCGTCACCAAGGAACTGAGTGCCACGACGCGCATGGTGCTGGACAGTGTACGTACCCTGGTCATCTGGGTGTTCTCACTGGCCGTGCGCTGGCAGTCCTTCAACTGGACCCAGATCGTGGGCTTCGTGGTCCTCATCCTTGGCATGTTCCTCTACAACAACGTGGTCATCCGGCCATGGCTCATAGGAAGAGGGTGCCTCAAGGACGACGAGGGACTTCAGGACGACCTTGAGGGCTTGGTGCCCGAGGAGCAGAATCCGTCCACACAGGAGGCAGAAAAGTACTGAGGTTGTCGGATGCCAAGTCGAGATGTCTGGAAGTCCAGGACTCCCGCTGGACATTTCTTTTGTCTCCCGGATGTGCATTCGAAAGCCAATGGGTTTTCCAAGTGAGCACTGAACTGCAAGTTTGAGATGTCTGCTGTTGGACATCCTGAAGTTGTCTGCTTGCGGGACGTTCACAAGTTGAAACCGCCCACTGGTTGCCCGGTAGACACTTTCCTTCTTGTAGACATCCAGCATGCATCTCGTCACTTCTGCTTGTTCAGAAAATGGCGTCGACTTCTGGACGTTGAAGTGGGAGGCCATGTCCTGGATACTCGAACTGAAAGATGATCTGCTGGACATTCCAAAACCGCCAGATATCACCGTTGCAGGTCTGTTGGACATCTTGTGCTTGTCCGTACACCTGTTTATGGAGAATCCAGAGACTCCATAGCGAAACCTGATTTTTGTTATGTTGTTGTGTACCGCACACATTACCCGAACATTGGACGGGTGTTCGAGTCTATGCAAATCTTTTTGAGCTGTTTGTTTTATGGACATTTAAAGGGATTATCCTTATGACTGCAGGATGGCTCCAATTTGCTCTCATACTTTGTGTGCAGAGAATTGGGGGCGTGTTCGTTGGGCAAAGAATGAACATACTGTGATTTTTGTTCTAAGGAATTGTTTGTGATAGTATAACTATCAGAACCTATGGGGTTTTCTGTTTTTAGATGACCCCGAATATTTTTGGGGCGTCCTCGGGCAGTTATGTTATTGTGCCGTCGATGCATTAATAAATATTGGTTTGAGCGGTTTCAAGAAGCAACTTTGTGTGAGAAAGGTCATTGCAGTGCTTTGTGAATATACTTCTAAACATTTTAGTCGAAACCGTGCAAAGCGTAGTTGCCAGGTATGCTAGATTTTTCTCGATGACTCCAATAGTAAAAGCTGTGAAGATTCTGTTGTAAAAATGTTTTTTCTTAATTTGAAATTTAGGCAAGCTGGTGTTACATGGAAGTCCACCTTGCATCAACAGGGCAAGGAGTGATTATGTAACTGGAATTCTGTAAATATATTCATTAAAGGCAACTACGGTCAATACTTTTATAATTTGGAATTGCGACTGTTCTCAGCTGAAGCAGTGTCCCTGAATTACAAGGTATCATTTTGATATTATGTGCTTTTTATAAATATCGCGGCTGAAAGTTTGGTTTCGGGCATCTACGGCATAACCGAAACTATCTGCGAGAGGGATGGCAACACTGATTATCAGCCATGCGGCCACGATGTGATGTCACAAGGATGCTGCACCAGTGTTCCTTCACTAAAAGCTAACCTGCTTGCTGGTCTCGTCTCAAAAGGGGCCCTGCAAGGACTTTTTTACTGGTTTTTAATTTGCACTGAACGTAGTAACATAAACTTCTCTTTTTTCGAATTTCACTTTATTTTAAAAGCTATAAAGAGTATTCACTGGCCGCCATATCTGTGTGCGCGAATGCTGAGCGCGTGCTGACGGCGAGCTTCCGCAGTTCTTTTGCAACGTGCATTCCGCACCGGCAAGAGTGCCGGTCTTAGTAGCCTATTAATGTGAGCTCGTTCTGAGCATGCGCTCTAAACAGCACCCACAAATATGGCGTCCAGTGAATACTCCCTATAGGCAAATTAAAATTGCAAAAATACGCAAAAAATACTTTCCTCTACGACGTCCTTGGTCGCTTGAGTGGCCATGAACTAGAGTGTTAGTGAGCTCAGCGAGTGCTCATGGCTGCCATACTCTGTGTCGACGGCTCGAGAGGGCGCCACGAAAGCATGTTCTGGATTGGCTGTATGAAGTGGGCAGCCAGGGCGGCTTGCATTGCATTTTCTTTCACGATTGAACAATAATTCGGCATGACACTTCATTGGCCACAAACGACAGGAAACGACGTGGGGTAAAGGTCAGTTCGGAACAGGAACCTCTTCGCGCTGCCATACCGCCAAACGGCCAAACCTTTTCGCTGAAGGCCTTCAGAACCGATCGGATCTTCGAGCCCGTATACGACCGCAGCGCCGCCGCACACATCCGGGACCTTTCTACTAAGGGGTGTCGCAAACTTTTGTCTAACTGGATTTTTAGCTCGAACTTTCGAGGTTTGACCTTCGAACTTATAACCAAATTAGACCGGTTCGACTTTGTGGACAGTGTGGCCAGACCTTGAAGCTAACATGTCTAGGTTTGGAGAATTATTTTTTTTTTGTATGCAAAGGGTTATTCTAATTTTATGATCAGTTGCAATTAAAAGAAACTCTAATCACTGAAGAAGTTAGTAACTTAATTTTCTGTACTGTATTAACTGAAATAACCAATTAGTGCTGGTCTTAATTCATCCCTTAGCCATCATCATCCAATCCGAAGCAAACAAGCCAGCCTGTCGCGCATAGCAGCCTAACCTTGTCGAACTTTTCACAAGAAGTTTGAAAAGGTCGAACCTGGTCAAACTCAAACCTTGACCGGTTCGCAACACCCCTACTTTCTACGCTCACCGCTTGTCGGTGCCTGATCCCACTACACCTTTCTAATATGCGCTGCCTTTTCCGCCGCTTGGTGGCGGGTATGTCAACGGATCATTTCTTGTTTTCGTACTTTATAAACTGCATTGTTTCTTTTCTGATCTAAAATACTGAACAACTACTTTATGAATAATTGAAACGGTTCGCGCCACTTATGTTTTGTATTTCGACTAAAAGGCTTTTAGCAGCTCTGACCAGTAGTAAGCCCAGGACCAAAGACTTCACATTTTGCGCGCTTTCGGCACCGCAGGTCGCCTGCATAGGTGGAGGAGGTTTCTGCGTCGTCCGGTTAAAATATGACACACTGATATTTAGTTACTCTCTCCGTCCCCGCTGGCTTGCCTGAACCCCAAGAGAGGTGGAAACCGCAAAAAAGGTAGACGCTTAAATATGATTGCAGGGCCCCTTTAAAATAAGTTTTAGTGGAATATGCGGCTTCACTTTGACGTAATATTTATTGTGTGCCACTAAAGTGATACCAGTCATTTATTTTGATTTAGTTTGCAATCGGAGCATGCCCTCCATATGCATCCTTTCGGGAAATACCACTGGCTAGCCATTTAGGCAATGGAAAGTGTCCTAAATTTATGAGCCTTTAAAATTTATCTGGTTATGACTAATGACATGACACTTTGCTTTCTATGACACTTTGGTATTCTAGTTACTACAATTACTAGTTATGACACAATTACTACAGTTACTTATGACACTTTGCTATTCTAGTTACTACAATTCCACTGATCTGGAGCCTTTTTTGGAGAACTATCAGGAGCTTCTTCACACTGAACAATGAAGTTTGAATGGTTTCCTGGAATACTACTGTAATGTGAGCAACTTTAAAGGGAAGGTGGGGCACTTCTGCATTCTAGAAAAAACACTTGAACTGCGCTCATTTGGCCTTTAGAATAACAGATATCACAATTGTGTTTCAATGCGACGCACCGGAGAGCCATAAGAGCAATTTCAAAATAGGGCTGAAGCACCTCCCTAACCTGGGGCAGCCAAAAGATCCGTCGATGACGTCACGTACAGCGACTGTCTTTCGCGTTTTCTCGCTTTTAACAATACTTGCGCAGCAAATGGTTTGGGTATTCGGGTTCACGGGTAAAAATACACTAGAATTCACTTCTCATTTTTTTCAAGAACCTCCGTAGCTTAACTGTGCCGCAAATGGCTTGCAGCATGCACTGCGGCTTGGAAAATATCGCTCTGCAGAACCCAGGGTTCAATCCCTACCCCTGCCTGTTTCAATCTGGATGAGCATCGTACTGGCATCATTACCGAACGGTGCACGCAAGACCCCTAGGCTAGCGGTTATACTGTGCTGGATAAACTTCTCATCCACCGAGATACCAGATGCCCATTGAGGCTGACCAACTTCTGACTCTCTAAACATACAACTAATTTTTTTTGCAGTTGCAATGGATGGCTTGGCCAGTCTTTTGCAGTGGCTTTGCTCCACAGAAAAATAGTGCCATGGTAAAACTGGCCTATTGAAAGCACAAGCAATGCCTCATCCTTAGGCTAATAGCAGCACATTTGTAGGCAGTGTGGAAAGAATATAGTTTAAACTCATTGACCACACAGCACCAAACCTGAGGTAGGAAGTCCTCTATTCTCGTTGCATTGCAGGGAATCTTCAATTGCGAGGCAGCAGCGAGTTTTGTTTGTTAAAAGGCAATTCCTTTTCATCGAGGAATCATTGTTTACCTTGCACAGAAAGCTGGGTTAATACATAAATATTGATAGTTTTGTTATTGTAATGCAGACACTTGTAACGAATAACCTAGAGAGCCACTAAATTGACTACACCTCAGAGTAAGGACGCTTCAGCCACCTTGGTGCACAAGATGATTGTTGCCGGCTATTTGAAACTTCATGTGAAATCGCAGAAAGTGGTTTTCTGTCCTCCAGAAATGTAAAAACAGTAACACAGCAAAAAGATATTGGCCAAGCTTCTTGACTTGTCTAAAGCTGAGGAAGTTGCATTTCCAAACCAAGATTTTGGTGCTCACCAGAAAATCTGGGAATGGACTGCATAGCTTATTTATAGTGGCCCCACAAAACTTGAGACACAAGGAGAACAAAACACGGGTGCTGGAAACTGGTGGCAACAACTTGGAAAGGAATCAGTCTTGGAGTGGCAGCAGACATCTTGCCGAGCGGTTTTTTTGGGGCAATGCTAAGTCTCTAGGCGAAACGTTGCCTGCCGTTCCGAGACTTCAGATAGGTTCTTTAGCAAGACATTTTGAATGGGCAGTTCTCCATGCCGCATACGTCGACGGAACAAGTACGTAATCCAAAGGTCGTGTCAGCCGAATTTTGTTTATTTAGACCGTGGGAAGTGTGTCGACCCCAATGGGTGTCTGGCGTTTTTGTCATTGCAAAACAACCGCTAGTCTTACTTCTTTGATGTACATTGCGCAGTAGCGCTAGTCGACCTCGCGCCGTTACAATGCTCGTCCAGATTGAAACGAGCAGGGCGGGGACTGAGCCGACACCAGCTAGAATCATCAAAGCTTGTGAACAACTTCCTTTACCTCCATGTAATACCATCATGCTACGATGGTCCAACTGAATGCGGGACCCAGCCAAATGCCAACGCAGCCCTCGTGTTCGATCTGCATCTCCGCTCGCTGCGATGACGTCAAAACACCAGCGCATGGGCTTCAATTATTATAGATGGTGCCGATTAAACCCGGGATCCCTGGACTCTGCGGCACGAGCTTTATGCTAGCCGAACGTGCACCGCTCCAAACACGTCGACTTTCTTTTCTAAAAACAGACCTCCTACTGAGGAGTACAAAAACAGATTTGCAACCTACTGCATGCCAGTTTTGGGGAGGCAACGAGGCTGCTTGTAAAAACTACACTTTATTCGTCAGCGTCACTGAAAGTCCGCAGTCTCGACGACTGCCTCCACTGTGCCGAGTAGCAGCGTGCCCTCGGGCAGGCCGTCCTCCGCCGCGAGCGCCTCAAGCGCCCCCTCGGGCAGGGCGCCGGCCGCCACCAGAGCGGCGGCACCGTCCTCCCCAAGCGCCCCCTCGGTGAGCACGTCCTCCGAGTGGAGCTGCGGGAGTGCCTTTCCCCGCTTGGCGAGCACCGTGCCGTGCACGTGGTACAGGTGGCGCCTCAGCATCTTGTTGGACACGACGCCCTTGCGGCAGAGCGGGCAGAAGATGCGGTAGTCGCCCGTGTGGAAGCGGGTCACATGGTGGCGGCGGGTCATGGCTAGCGTGAAGGCCTTCTCGCAGTAGGGGCACTTGAAGGGCTTCTCGCCCCGGTGGCGCCGCATGTGGGCCTCGAAGAGGCCCTGGGTGCGCAGGGTAACCTGGCACAGGTCGCACTGGTGCACCAGCTCCTGGGCATGTTTGTATTTGTGGGCGGCCAGGCTGCCCGGGTACTTGAAGCGCTTTTTGCACACGTCGCAGGCGTACGCCCACGTGTTGGGGCCCCCCTTCTCGTGCTTGTGCACGATCATGTGGAAGTTGAGCGAGGCGATCTTGCTGAAGCCCTGCCCGCATGCCTGGCACCGGTAGTGCAGCTCCCGCGAGTGAGCCTGCAAGGGAGGAGCCAACGACACATCAGGCGAGTCAGTTCGTAGATCGCCAAATATTAGAACGGTGCAAAAACACGAGCGGTGGGGAGACGCAATGGCTGAAAGTTGACACTGTCTATATGCTTCTGTCCTCCACCTGTTCTTGTGCTTCACCCCCTCGCTTTCAACTGCCGGTCGGCCTGAGTAAGTGGATTGTCTGTTGCCGGGAAATGACTCTTGCCGCATCCGTTTAGTTTTTGGGGTCGTAGGAAAACAAGCGGGAACGGGAATGGAACGAGCTTCGTCAATGTTTCCTGTAAAACCTGGCATGCGCAAAGACATACAAAGGGTCTGTTCCATGTTTCGTAAACGTGACGTTACACTTTTTGCGATAGACTACAGCCAAAACCATAGGCTGGCAGGTCCAATCACGAGCCAGTCGAGGTTGGTTCCCACATTCGCATTTGTTTGTAACCGAGTGACCTGCATTCAATTGCTTCACACACTGACACTATCTATAGGGTAGCCATGAAACACTTCCGACTCCTGTATAACTAAACCGGAAGTATTGCAACATTTGCAGAATCAAGTCTACGCACCATCTATAAGAAATGGTCGCCTATAACATTGTCAGAATTATTTCGAATCGACAATGAAAGAACAGCGCGTAAAAAGAGATAAAAATATACCTATACATAGGCTGAAAATGTGCGAACCAGCCTTTAAAAAGTGTGTGTACCATCTAACCAACTCGCGAATGAGCCCATAGATTTAGCGGCTCTCCACCGCGGAGCAAGACGAAGCGCCGGTTGGTCGACGACAGAAGAGACGGATATCCTGGGGCCTCACCTGGAGGTGCAGGTCGAAGAGGCCCTGCGTCTCGAAGTACTTGCCGCACTGTGGGCAGGCGTAGCCTCGCTGCTCCTCGTGGGCCTGCAAATGCTCCTGGAAGCTGGAGGGCAGCACGAAAACCCGGGGGCAGTTGGGGCACGGGTAGCTCTCGGTGGTGTGGCTGGTACGGATGTGACGCTCCGCCTGGTTGCGCTCGATGAAGCCCTTGCCGCACAGGTCGCAGGCGAAGGGCCACACACCCGTGTGGTCCACCAGGTGCCGCAGGTAGCCCTTGCGGCTGTACGACGCATACTCGCAGTGCTCGCACTGGAACAGCTTCAGGTTCGGGGCACGCTGCGCAAGGGCACCCAAGGGACGCTGCAACTCAACTCGGTTCGTCTGTTTGTTTGGTATGCACGTTGCACGGCACTGTCGAGGCTCATTCGCACTCTTGCGACTGCTTCCGACCGAGTGTGTTACGACTCTTGTGGTCTCTTACAACGATAAAAACACACTGGCACGCTGGTACCACCCATGAGGTGGCCCTGGAACTGCGTTCCTCTAGATTGAAGGTTTTGCAGTATATATTTGCGAGTTCAAATGTACATACTACTTACGAGAAATCGTCGTTTATAACATTGTCAAAAGTTTTTCGAGCCAAAAAAGAAAGATGTGCAAACGAAATAGCGAGTATACGGAAATGCCAGTTGCTCCATGGTCGCCCGATAGACGCTGCCAATATGCTCTCTCGCCAACAAAAAAAAGATCAGAAAAGATCGTAAGCAGTCGCAAGGGTGTGAACCAGCCTCAAGCGTTAGCGCGACAGCGGTACATCTTTTAGTTGCAAAGGTTTTTCGTCAGCACCACATTTACCACTTAGGTTAGTGCCCCAATGAGCACTTCCTGCCACACTACCTATAAGCTTTGGTGATGGCCTTCCAGTTCTATGGGAAAACCAAAAAAGAATGGTGATCACTCTTTCTGCGAGTTCCTACTGGACCCCGAACCAGGTGAGCTCCATTCAGGAGGCCAATTCTGGACACACGGGCTCCATTCTCAGTAGCTGCATCTTTCCCCTACAGACTTTCTTCTCTTAGCGCACAACAATTTTCACAGTCAATACGTTCCTGTTACGAATGCCAGACAGCGCAGACTCACCGTTCCGTCGGGCATGAGAGCTGCTCCTTTCTCCGACAGCGACGGCTGGACTGAAAGCCAAAGAGGGGTGCAGGGCCGTTTACAAAGAGGAAACATGCAACAAGAGCTGCAAAGGTTGCTGCTAAAAAGTACAAATTAAGTTACAGGAAGGTCAGGACCTACAAACTCTCCAATCGTGTTGATGTATATTGCATGCAGGGGCGGATGCAGGAATTTCCTGAGGGGGGGGTCAGGTGTTGGTCAGCGTACCATATGTCTAGGAACCCCCTCCCCTTCTCCCTCGTTTCACGCCCTAAATTTTACACATGCAAAAATCAAGAGGGGGGTCAGGACATCCGGACCCCCCCTCTAAATCCGCCCCTGATTGCATGTGTCAGCTTCTTCGCTTGAGAACTTCAAACAACAGCACTAGTGGCCGCTATGGTAACATCTTTCAACTCTAGAATTGTTGAAAGCGAGCCTTGCACCATTTCGTATCTCTCGTTCGTTCGCTGGTGCGTGCCGTTCGTTGCTCAGGTCATTACCTAAGCTCTAACGACGAGGGGCAGAACTCTACCTTTCATAGATGCACCATACATTGTTAAAAAAGCATATGCAAAACTATCCAAGCATGAAGGATGTTAGCACCATAGAAATGTTGTCACTTTGTTGTTCACTGGCTCATAAGGAGGGCAATTTTTTCTTTTCTTTTACTTGGCTATTTTTTTTTGTGTGTATGCAAGACTACAATTGTTTTACCCAATTGTTTTTGTTTTGCTTCCTACAGGGGTTTTTGAGTGCGTATGCAATATACAAAAACTTGGTAGAAAAAGAAAAGCGGTAGGAGAACACTATTTTGCTAAATCAAGATTAAAAAAAATATGGTCTTCAGTAGGAGTGAGATGGAATAACTAAAAAAAGTTGTGTTACGTCACAAATTTTGTTAAATTGAAGTTGGTTATATTGAGGTTCAAGAGTAGTGTTTTCCAGAAAGGTGACTAGAGCCCTGCGCAGATGACTGTTTGAACATCCAGTCCGCATCTGCAGACATTGTAATTACACCCAAACCACATCCGCATCATTCTTCAACTATTGTATCCGCATCCGCATACTTTGCATCCGAACTGCATCTGCTAAATTCGGGAGCATGTAACATTGTGAGCAGACCTCACTGATGACTCTGAGGGACCACCACCTTCGATCTGCCATGACGGACATGACACTGATATCGGAAGCCCGACCGCAGTCAAAATGTGCGACACTTCAACACTTGGTGCAGCCCAAACAGTGTACATATAACATTATTTGAGCCCTCCTAATTTTTTAGTTGTTTACCCCTGCTCTAAAGCAATCTTTCGTGAGAATCAAGTCTTTCTTGGCGTAAAAAACAATTTTCTGCCGATTGGCACCTTTTTTCTGAGAGAGTAATTTGCTACAGCGAAACATGCAATGATGCACCCGTTCCTACCATAGCTCACTTATTCACTCTACACTTTGCGGTCGCACATGTTTTCAGGGACCCCGTTGACAAAAACAGAGATCGGGACCTGCGGATTTCTGCATCCGATCCCCGAAATCCGATTATATTTATCCGCATCCTCCAGTTTACAGCAGATGATCTGCAGATATGCAGGGCTTTAAAGATGACCCTTGCAAGTCGCATTTCTGAACAATACTCGCATAAATAGTTTGCCAGGGGCCCTTCAAAGTGTGAATGCAACCCCCGAAATTACGGTGCGTGGGACGCATCTTTGACCGGCACGTTTGGCATCCCATACAGCCAGCCATCCGTCGAAAGTGAGCCTGACGAGGCAATAAATTATGTCGCGGGAGTCGCGCGGCACATTCAGTCGCTCGCCGCAGTCCTGGTGGTCAGTCGCGGAAGTTCCGGCAAAAAAGACGAGCGAACGTGAGGGTCACCGTCGTCACGGCGTCCCCCCTCGTCACGAGTTGGGACGGGTGGCTGCCACATTCACCTTTGCCACTGTGCCGCCCGCAGGATCGCGACCGACGACGCTACGAAGCGGAAATCGAGAAACTAGAAACGAAGACGTTAGGGGTTTGACGCTTGAAGACGTGTCCCGGGAACTGTGTCGGAAGGCTGCGGATATCGCGGGGCAACGGCAAAAAGCCCGAAAAGGGGACTCACACTTGTGTCCGCAGAGCAGGTGGAGCATGAGCTCGCGCTTGGTCATGAACTTCATGGGGCAGAGGCTGCACGAGTGGTTGGTTTGGCGCAGGTGCACCCGGCTCACGTGGCGCTTCTTCTGCGACAGGAAGTTGAAGCCCTTGGAGCAGTGCTCGCACTTGAACGACTTCAGCTCCCCATGCTTGGCCTGCCTGCATTCAAAAGAAAAACAGTTGTAAGTTTTGTTCTCCCTGGCGCTCGCTGTATTCATTGAGAAAGGGCGTGGCTTGGTATGTTCGTGCTTCATGATTTTGTTCTTTGCAGCTCTTATCAGCTAACGCTGCAATCCCATGGGCCGAGGAGCGATAATCATGTGCTCGGGAATCACTGCGTCCTGCGTTTCTTAGGGTGCCAGTGACTATATACAGGGTGTTTCAGAACCCTTGCACCGAACTTAAAAAAAGAAAAATGGAGTGCTTTATGGGAGTGAAGCAACTGTACGTTGTTAGCAAGCGCCTTACGAAAGTGCGTGAATATCTTTGGGTGCATCTAGTTTTTTAATTGTCTAAAACTGATTGGCTAACTTTGTAATTATTCGTTTATGGTTCGAGCTGTGAATTGGGAAGCTGTCGAGCGCATTGAGAAACACCTAATTAAGATGTTTTCTACAGATACTTTTTGCACACTCCTTCAATTGGCCTCAAAAGAAAGCCCGTAAAATATAAAAAAAACATAGTGCGAGACTGCATATACAGCGCTCTCGAACGAGCTCCAAAGGAACGAAGGTCATCTTGTCATTGGCGTGCTTTGCGAAACCAGGCTTTGAGGTAGAAGGTGCTCGCGTTTCTCTTTGGGGCCTACACCAACACGAAGCCTTCTCTCGGAAAATGCGCCAGTGAAAAGGGCGACTTCGTTCCTTCAGGGCATGTCTGACAGCTCTGCAAATGTGACGTGGGGGTGTGCTATTACGTGGCCACTCGTAAATATTTTGCGGGCCTTATTTTTAGAATAATAAAAAAAAGCGCTCGAAGCGTGTCATGTAGCCGACACCTTAATTAGGTGTTTCTCAATGCACACAAAACCTTCCAATTCACACCTCAGCCCTTAAACAAATAATTAAGAAGTTAACTAATTAGTTTTATATAAAAAAAAACTAGGTGCACTAAAAAAAAATTTGCGTACCTTCCTAAGATGCTTGCTAACAAAATATGAAAATACAGTTGGTTTCACTCCCACAAAGCAGTCCGTTTTTTGTTTTTTTTCTCCTCCTTTTGGTGTTTCTTGTTTGGGACACCCTGTATAGCAGGGGTCTTAAACTCATTTGAGTGTAAGGGCCAGATAGCCCACCCCAAAAAGGTCAAGGGCCAACGTAAGACGGGGGTGGAGGTTTGGGCTTAAAGGCCGACGTACAACCTTGGTTTTCTGCAGGGAAGATAATCCTTTTAGCGCTCCCCTCTCCTAAGCTGCGAGGGGAGCCAGGTTGGGGCAAGGTAAAACGTGGAGAGGATATAGGAAAGGAGGTGGCGGGCAAAAGTGGAAAGCGCGAAGTGTACGTCGGCCTTTAAGCGATTTTATGTTTTTTGTGAACTCACAGTTTTGCCAGAAACATCTTTAGATTTGATTCGTTTATATGACTACTTTCAACCCTGACCTGATGTGATAACAAGAATTAAAATGACGCCGCCCGCCAATATGCTGGCATTTTTAATAGAGCAAAAGAGCAAGTACACTGTCGTTCCCGTTGCTCGATTCACTCGGGAATTAACCAAGCTCGACATTTCTTCAGAAAAACAATCAGTTAATTTGACATTTCTTGCTTTCCTGACGATTTTTCGTAGAACACTCAGAAGAAAGACTTCTCTTTTATTAATGATATTTTTAGAGGCGAGAATCCTGAGCTCGGAGATTTATCTTTATCTTTGGCAGTTGCTCCTGCTTATCGAGAGTTTGCGCAACCTAGATGCTTTCTTCAACGAAGAGCTTGGGCCTGCAGCCTAGTAGCGGAATTGTTGCACAGGTGGGATAAGTATAAACTAGTGGAATATGTTAAAGAACAGAGCTGCTATTTGAGCAGAAATGAATCAGTGAGCTGAGATCATATGCTGCATGCCATTTCTAATGCTCAAGACATAGGAACCGGGACTTGTTGCCCGCGGGTTGCGTGTTTGAAACCCCTGCTTTATAGCATCATGCAGCGTGGACCCTGTGGCACAGTGGCCCTTTGCAGAGACCGCATAAATCGATTTCGTAACGTGCTTGAAAGCTGCACATTAAATATTAGAAAGTATAAAAAGATAAACTCCCCTAAATCAAAAGAATCAAAATGTATTGTTTATGCACTTTAGTTGAGGTGGTTTCTCTTTTTTTCTTTTCTTTTTGCAAAATCATCGAACAGAATTATGAATCGCTGTGGTGTTTATTATAACTGACCAATGGGTCAGAGGGGAAAAATAAAATTTGGTTTAAACATTATCTCCTTCATTTTGCAAAAATAGGTAAACAGCACAGAAATCCACCTGCCACTTGACGGCCAAGAAAAAAGTTCTTTCTTTGCCATTTTCTACTTCGGTGAACTCGTACCTCCATATTTGAAAAAAATAATTATCTAATTATACCTCCGTGCAAAATTACATGACAGTCTGTTAATAAACTGGCAAACTGCATCTGCATGGGACTAGAGATGGCTAGCCCTCCTGCCTGACTCACAGGTGGTACTTGAGGGTGGTCTGCGTCTTGAAACACTGTCCGCACGCCTGGCAGCCGAAGCCCTTGTCCTGGCCGTGGCACAGCCGGTGGTTGCGCAGGGCCGTGCGGCTGCTCAGGCACTTGCCGCACACGTCGCACTGGGGCTTCAGCTCGCACTGGCGGCTCTCCACGTGGCGCCGGTAGCGCACCTGCACAGGGCACGGAGAGTGCGGCCAGCGGTCGCCGAGGTTAAAAACCAAGATTTCGCTACCATGAAAGCATGTTTACTAACAAGTTGTTGCACCATTATTGAGTTTTACGCATGCTTATCGGGTCTACTGCTGATCTAGGATTGCAGCAAGGTAGGGTTGTGCGAATATTCAACATTTCGAATAGTAGTTCCGAATAATACACTATTCGATATTCGCTTCAAAAAGAACTGCACTATTCGCGTTTTTCGAAGTGTTGATTACGGCGGGTTAGCCTTGTTGAGTGCGCTTCTTACCAAGCACCGGTGCGCTGCGGAGAAGCAAAACCCGCAGAAGTGAGCTTCGCGAGTGTTGCTTCTCCGCATTACATCGGTGCTCGCTAAGAAGCGCACTTAACGGGATAACCCGCCGCGATAAACAATATCGTAATTGCGTGCTCAAGAAAAGCATACATTCAAAGCGGGATGGTGCACCCGTGCCGACTGTATTTGAAAATAAAGGGAAACTTAGTGAATGCGTATATCTACATTGTAGTAAAAGTTTCAAAATTAAACTTTTATGGAAGAGTATATTATGTTAGGCAGAGATGCTTTTACAACCTGTGCTCATCATGCGCGACTCATTCTTTTTTAACTTGAGATTAAAGGAAGAATATTTTATATATCAAGATTTGTAAATTCACTCAATTGGTATAGTTGGCCATCTATATAGGATTCATTTTATGTTAGCTTATGAATGAAAAAGTGGAATAACCTTTACAGATTTAGCTGGGTGTTTGTCGAAGCATTATGCAATGGTAGTGAAAGGCGTGGAAAAACTATTCGATATTCAAATCGAAAATATTCGGCCAAAACCACTATTCGCTTTGGACTCAAAATCGACTATTCGCACAAGACTACAGTAAGGTAAAGGGTCTCTAATCCGTTTTGCTCAAATCCACGTGCAGTATGTTGCAGCGTGAAAAGGGGGAGATGCCCTTCCATACAAAGCTTTTGGCTAACCGTTATTGGTGCTTTCCTCCCCTTCTCTCCTCTCGCAATGTTTGCTCTGCTAAAGTGAAAAAGAGTGGAGGGCTTTCCGAACCCGCAACAACTTGCTATTCCGAACCCGCAAGAGACTATCTTTTCCTACTGAAAACATGGCAGTTTGAGGGAGTCCTGCAAGAATGAATAGATGGGCAATGATTCAATGTTTTTCGTTTAAAATGGGGTGGCCACTTTATAGCAGTCTCTTATGCGACCGGATACCCACCTCGCTCGTGAACTCCTTGTCACAGTGTTCGCAGGCATAGAAGCGGATCTCGGGGTGTCCGCCCAGATGCTGTTGCATCTGCTCCAGTGCAGACGTGGAGAAGGCGCAGTAGTTGCACTTGAGCTGGGACTGCAACAAGCAAGGTCGTCGGTGAGAGACGCCAAAAGTTGCCCTCGATTCGCGGGCAGCATTTTGTATGCCCGTTTTCGGAATATAGTTAAAAGAAGTGATAAAGAAAAAAGGGGCTGTTCTGAGGGGTATTTCGAGGTGCCTTTACTGTGTTAGAACCTCTCCACTGTAAAGAAAGGAATTACGGGAAATATAGATTTACACCTATGACTAGCAAAACCATGGTCCTTACCAGTTCAGGGTCGGTGGATGTGGTCATCAAGTAGTGACCTGCAGAAGTGCAGATGAGAACAACCAGAGGTGTAAAGTGACGACTCCACTTGTAGCTCGTAAGCAACACGGTAACGTTTTTTTGTCATTCAATGCTAACGTAGCGCTCTTTCATCATATGCAGGGATGCATTGTCCTGTATGCTGAGCAAATCAATCACGTGTTGGTAGCTTACTTGTGGTACTTTTTTAACATAGGATATCTTTTTGGCCAGGATAACTTGGTGGAAACTTAAGATTGAAAGGTGACACATAAAACGCAAAAGCGTTACAACGAAAAGAACAATAAATAAATAGATAGTGTCGCCGCTACAGCAGGGCTCCTCGCTAGTGGCGCCTCATTCCTATCCTTGTCAGAAGTCGCGACATGAGTCCGTACGTAAACGATTGCACAACGACCCAAAAACATGTTCTATGTACATGAGAATTTTGTCAGCTATGACCAAGCTAATTCTGCAAATGTTCTTTTGCAATACACTGCATTTGCTCGAGCTTGATGTGACAATTATCTGTATTTCCCTGCAACAGCACGTAAAAGCGCACTGCTATTATTTAATTGAAAGACGTAAAAAATCAGGAAACAGATAACATTTGAGCCCCAAACGGTCATGGAATAGAAAATAGAACCAACGTCACTAGAGGAACTTTGTGTTTCAGTTGCGGAGCTTTCTATCTTGCCAATGCTTTGTGCACTAGCCGAAAAATTTCTGGCGCCAGTCCAACAGGCAACGCGAACGCCACACGTGGCTGGCAGGGCACTGAGGGCGCCAAGAGCGCCTCTGGTTTTGTCAGCTCAGTCTTTCATCCTGAAGCATGTTCTAGGACTGCAGCAGTTGCTACCTTGACCCGCAAGTGGGTGCAGACAAGGAAAAGCTGTATTTCGAGAATTTCCGCATCTCTTATGGAACCAGCTCTTATCTTCCTTACGGTAACTCCACAATGTCATTGCCTATTGTGTTTGAAGCTGTCAAAACATCCCCACTGTTCAAGTAAAGATCACACACATGGTCACCTGCCAAGAGAAGTTTGCCGTAGCGCAGTTCCAAGCTTGCCTTTTTTTTACGCCTGCCGATGGCTTAAAAAAGTGTGGTTTTTTTTGGTGCCCTTGTAACCGCTTGGACACCCAGGCACACGACACGTCCGCACACCGACAAATCTATCCAACTTCAAAAAGAACAGTTCTTTCTCCCGAGTTTCTTCTTTTTTTTTCAAGGTTTTTTTTTTCTTTTTCCAAGGGAATTCGGGGTCAGGGAAGGGAAGGGCTGACGCATTGAGGGTGGCACCTTTAAATGTCGGTTGCTAGTTGAAAGAACTGTACAGTCTGCCTTCATCCCTAGATGTCTTCTTTTTTTTGTGTTTTTCAAATTCGGGAAGAATGTTTTACTGAACCATACTTGACAAGCTGTAAGTTTTTGATTGATGCAAAGATGAACGTGCAAGATATCATGCGCAGCAGCCACGGCTACATCTGCATGTTTCTGTGTGTACCGAGGTACAGAACCGAAACATGTGAAGATTTGGACGCAGAACTGATGGAGCCGAGTAAAGCCAGCATCACTCTTAATGCTTAGCCAGCCACTCGAAGCACTAGCGTTGACTGTAGGGTTCGACCCAGAAACATTTTGGCTTGGCCGCAAAGCGCGAGCTCTTCAGCTGATACAAAGCTTCTAGTGATATTGGAATAGAACGGCAGCCATGTCGATGACAAGCAGCAGAAAACGTCCACACAGAAGCAGGTTCCATTTGCTTCTGCGTTCACATCTGCGTCTCACAGACGGGCACAGGGGTGTATGTAGCACACAGCACAAACTCCCGATCTGCACAGGTCGATAAATCTGAGCTATCTCGGCCCTCCTCAAAAACAATTCTTGACAACGCCGCTGGACAGACACTATCCAAGAGGCACAGCAGAAAGCAGACATACTCCATCCACATCTGCCACTTGACACCATTTTCTTGCGGGTAAAACGAGTTCTTCCCTTCTAAATATTTACTTCGGCAACCAAAAGTCATAGAATTTTAGCACTTTATCCCAGTCACTTGCATTACGTTCTCGTGCAGTGCTAGCCTCCGGCGAGGCATATTTAATTTCTGCCGCGTAAAAGTCACGGCTTTTTTTTTTTTTGGCCCGACGTCTTGCTTGAGGTTAATCTTCTCAAATTTGAGCAGAACGTCCGTCATTGCACGAGCACGAAGTTAAGCGAAAGCCCCAGCTCCGCACGCCCCGTGTTGCCAGGACCCCTGCGATCCGCCGCTTCAAACGACAAAACATACTACTCACAGCTGTGGCTGTCCTGGAAGTGCTTGTCCAGGTTCTTACGGAACATGAAGCCCCTGCGGCACATGGTACATTGCAGCGGGTAGGCCTTGGTGTGCTTGCGCACAACGTGGTGGTCCCTCTTGATCTCCCGATCAAATTGCTTGCCGCACAGCGGACAGTCAAACGATGACAATGTGGCCTCCGCCGCGGCCCCACCAAGCTCGGCTACGGTCTCTTCCAAGAGCAACGTGGTCTCCGACGCCGGGGCGTCGGCGAGCTCTGGGGGGACGTCTGCCAGCTGAGATGCCGCCTCCAGCTGTCAAGGACGCAAGACTAAGAGTTTACAGTCATGTCTTCTTCGTTAATACAGTAGACTCCCATAATATCAAACTCCAGGAGGCCATCACGAAATTTGTTTTAATTTTCACAACTTTGAGTTATCAGAAATTCATCTAAATATAATGCAAGATAAAATATGATTTGCCATATGAATGGCTACACATACAAAGCAGATACTTTATGATTTCCTCTATATATGCCTACATATGCCACATATGAAACATTTGTGAAATGTACTCCAAAATGTTGTTTATTGTGGACCGTTCAGGAAGCACATGACAACTCAAAACAAAATTAAGTTTGTTCGTGAGCCCAAGAAGTTGTCTAATATGAAATACTAGGCAGAAGACACATGAGCGATGAAAACGGGCACCGCGCAGCAGTTTTCATAGCAACTTGCGCGTACGATGTGACGCGGACCCATGCCATGTTGCCACGTCACAGCGTCCGCGCAAGTTGCTGCGGAAATTTCCGCGTGGTGCCCGTTTCCATAGCTCACACGTGCCCCGCTTGAGCCCCGTTAAGCGCGCTTCTCACCGAGCGCCTGTGCTCTGCGGAGAAGCAACACCCGCGGAAGCAAGCTGTGTGAGTGATGCTTCTGTGCGGTGCACCAGTGCTCAGAAAGAAGTGCACTCAAGGGGGCCGCAAGACCAAAAGGCATGAATTACACGAAAATGCTGTTCGAATGAAGCGGCTCATGAAAGCATTAAAAACATAGCAGGACAACCAAAATTTTAAAATTCGCTTCAATTAACCATTAGTACAAAATATCCGAGTTTGAATTATCGCGAGCCTACTGTACAAACACGGTGCCCGGAACGTGTCTCCAACTGGTTTGTTTACCGCTACCTAAAAAGTAGTTCCTCAATTTCTGCCCGATGACGTCATAGAATCATCATGTTGCTGCCAGCCGCGATCCTGGCGCTGTCACAGCAGCAATAGTGGGTGTGGCAGATGCCCGATCTGCTGCAGGCCGCTCTTCGGCTCAACAGTCCACGGGAGCCTCGGCAGCCGGGACGCTGCGACGACGGCGGCACTCGCATTCTCTCATGCTTTTTCTGGACCTGCCCGCCCGACCGCCAGGACCCGCACGTCCGACCGCCAGGATCGCGACGTTTAACAGGTTGACGCTCCGGCTTTTGCGACATCTTTTGTTGCCAATTTGGTACCACTTTCGATGCACGGGCGGAATAGGATGCCAAACACATAGGTCGAAGACACATTGCAGGCGCCATGAACAACCGCTACATAGCCAACACGTTCGAGAACGAACTGGGTGAATATGTGAATTTTTGTCTCGTTATTGTGGATGACTCACATCATAGCTTATGCACACTTTTCTAGGGAAAAGAGGAGAATATTGCCGTATTCTGGTTTCAACACAAAAAATCTTTTGGGGCTAGTTTCCAGGCCTAGAGCAACACGAAATATGGTAGAAGAATACAATAGCACGACCAGTTGTCTTAAAAAAAATGGTGTCCACTGGCGGGAATCAAACCAACCCCCCTCTCAGGAATTCCCCCTACTCCACTCCATGCATATGCGGAATTCCTCCCAGTCGCGGAAAAGATGCAACAGAGTAGTGCAGAAGCTTACAGACGTTGAAAACAATGATGCGGAAAATAGGAAGCGTTTGGCCCACAGTTGTGCACTAATGCATGACTTAGATCTGCCGAAACAGTGCTTAAACTGGAAATACGCATTACTTGGGAGCAGGGCGATTCAAGGAGATTTGGGAGCTCAAAGAAGCAACGAGGGTGCTCCGGGGAACCTTTGGTTTACTTGGAAACAAGTATGAGAAGCCACACTCTACACAATGAGCTTCCGTCAAATTGCGAGGCAACTTGACCGGGACTCGAACCCACCAACTGGGAACCCAGAGGATGGCATTCTGCCTTGGAACCGGTGCTGTGCAACCAAAAGACGAGAAAGGTGAAGCACACATGGATGCCCCAAAAGAGGCTTCGGCACGTGTCGTCTGTCCCATGGAGCTCACATAACAAATCTAGAGATAAACGGTCTGCCATCTTTTTGCACACTGCAGCTGCTTAGGAACGGCATCGACGATACCAGTGAGCCCAGATTGCTGGCGAGGTTCTAATATACATGCAAAAACTTAAAAATTACTACCTGCAAGGTCGGTATTTTGTTTTTCTTAGCATCATTTTGCAAGGAAACACTGGTGTCATACACCGTTTTGAAAACAAAAACTAAAAGTCAACAAGCCCACAAACAACTGGAGGGCATGATGGCAAAACGAACGTACCTAATGCACCGTCAACTTAAAGGGGCCCTGCAATCATATTTAAGCATCTACCTTTTTTTGCGGTTTCCACCTCTCTTGGGGTTCGGGCAAGCCAGCGGTCACGGAGAGAGTAACTAAATATCAGTGCGTCATATTTTAAACCGGACGACGCGGAAACCTCCTCCATCGACGAGGGCGACCCACGGTACCGAAAGCGCGCAAAATGTGACGTCTTTGGTCCTGGGCTTGCCAATGGTCAAAGCCGCTAAGAGCTTTTTTTTAGTTGAGATACAAAATAAAAGTGTCGCGAACCGTTTCAATTATGTATGAAAGTAGTTTTTGTTCACTATTTTAGATCAGAAAAGAAACAAATGCAGTTTAGAAAGTACGGAAACGAGAAATGACCCGTCGACATACCCGCCACCGAGCGGCGGAGAAAAACGGCGCATACTAGAAAAGGCTAGTGGGATGAGGCTACGTCGAACGAGGAGCGTAGAAAGGTCCCGGATGTACGCGGCGGCGCTGTGGTCGTATACCGGCTCAAGAATCCGACCGGTTCCGAGCGTTCCGAAGGCCTTCGGCGCGGGCCCTGCTAGCGATTTGGCCATTTGGCGGTGCGTCAGCGCGAAGTGGCTCCCGTTCTGAACTGATCTTTAACCCCGTGTTTGCTGTCGTTTGTGGCCAATGAAGTGTTATGCCGAATTAGTGATTAGTCGCGCAGCAAATGCAATGCAAGCTGCCCTGGCCGCCCGCTTCATACAGCGTATCCAACATGTGCTTTAGTGGCGCCCTCTCGAGCCGTCGACACGGAGTGCGGCAGCCGTGTGCGCTCGATGAGCTCACTCAGCTCACTACTCCTCCTCTAGTTCAAGGCCACTCAAGCCAGGACCTACAACGTCATGAAGAAGGTTATTTTTTGCTTGTTTTTGTAATTCTAATTTGCCTATAACTTTTAAAATAAAGCGAAATTTGAGAAAAGAAAAGTTGGATTAAGTTACTATGTTCAGTACGCTCAGGTTCAGTGCAAATTAAAAACCAGTCAAAAAGTCATTGCAGGGCCCCTTTAAGTTTTCCCGCTCTTTCGCGGTCTCTTCTTCATCCTTTTTTTCGGTACCGCCAATCTTGGCGCTTACGACCTTCCGCACCCTGCTCCCGTCTTTAGCCCCCCCCCCCCCCCCCCCCCCGGTCCGACCCTCGCCACCCAAAAAATTTGATGCTTTTTAATAAGAGAGCGGCACTGCGCTTACCTGTGAGGCCCTGAGGTGCTTTCGCTGATGCATGCGCAGGCCCCTGTAGCTGGCGAAGCCCTTGCCGCACTCCGCGCAGCAGTGCTCCGAGCGGGGTGGCCCCTCGAAGTGGGATTGCTCGTGGGCCTGCAGCGCGGACGCTGACGCAAAGGTGCGGCTGCAGGCACAGCAGCGTAGCATGGGGGAGCCCCTCTCCGTGGCGCCTGCTGCCTGCTCCTGCCGCCCGGAGCAGCGGTGCTCCAGGTGGCGCTCCAGGCCGCCCTGGGATGGAACGCCACGTGGAAAGAGCTTGGTTGAAAACGAGGCACCAGAAATCTGTGAACTGTGATGGCAGAGGTTCTCCATCCTTTCAGTCTTAAGAAATGCCTACCTCTCTAGACTGACATTTTCATTTCTAATCTAAACTTCATCCTTCTTCATTCATTCATATCTCCTCGCGTCTTCAGGAGGTTGGCTAGTGGGTGTCCCTGCATACAGGTTATAAATCTACCTGCTAGCTGTGCACGCCTCCTTCGTCTGGCCCCCCCCCCCCCCCCCCCTTCCCTTCTTCTTTTGTGCAAATAAAAGATTGATTGATTGACAGCCGAGGAACCCTTCCCAGTCTTGACAGTGGTGCGAAAAGGCAGTGCAAAAGCTTACAAACCCTGCAAACCATAATGCATACTACTGGGGGTGCTTGGTACATTGCTGTCCATCAATGGATGGCTCTGACCTTCTACTACACTGATTAAATTGGAAGAACATTTCACTTGGGGGCATGGACGACTCAGGAAATTCGGGGGGCTCGGGGAGCCCTTGGGGGTACTCGTTCACAGGAACAAAGACCAAAAACCATTCTGTAGAGAAATGGCGTTTGAAACAGAACTGCAGAGAATAAGCTTTAAAAGATCCGGTACGTCCACTTTTCTGTGAAGCACTTGGCGAGAGCCAATCGCTGCACTCAACGATGGGAGCTCGGCAAACGAAGAGGCTGAAAACATGTTTACGCCTACAAGAACGGTCTACGCCGCGACACTGAACGAGACGTTTCACACGCTTACGTCACGCTCACTGTCAAAGGGTTTTGAGATTAACTCAATACTAAAGCAGCGATTAAATCTGCAGACCTTGCAGGAAATAATCCAAACATTAGAGAGTGTTTGGCTCATAGTTATGCACCAGTTGGTGGCTCAGATCTGCTAACGTAGTGCTTATTGGGATACTGAACTGAAATTTGAATTTCGCAAAATAAGGCTGCAGAAGTGTTGAACGCGGTGCTACGAACTCCAAAACATCACTCACACATCGATATTTCAAATGGAAGGCCGTACTTCTAGAAAAGAAGGGCGCAATCAAGCAAGGTCTCTAATGTAATTGTCCTTCGGGAGAATTTGAGAATGAGGGGAAGCGGCCTCGCCTCGTCTCCTCCTCGCTTCAGTTCACCAGCCCGACGCGACGTAGCGAGGGAATGGGAATCGTGACATGCCTTGTCTCGTTGGCCGTGTTCAATTGTGCACTTCTTTTCCAAAAAGACGCCGATCCGTTAGAGATATTGCTGTACGAGTGATGTTTTTGGGTTTTGCAGAATCCCACGTATCCGTCCAGCCTTGTTTTGTGAGCTTGAAATTTCGGCTCAGTATCCCATTAACCTAGAGAAACATTTTACTAAGGGACAAGGACAATCGACAAAATTTTGGATCTTGTAGAACCCATGGGAATGCTCCGAGGAAACCCTGGGTGAGAAACCATGCCCTAAAGAAAATGAGCCCTACAATACTCCATCTGATGATAACTTGGCGAACTGCGGAGGCTGTGGCCCCCGTGACCCAATAAGAGCGTTGGAGCAAGGCACGTGACAGCACTCCATGGTTGAGGCCACGGAGACCTTGTTAACAGCAGCAGCACCATCAGCGACACAAAGTAGTTCTAGGTATCTCTTGTAGCGTAAGCTACACAGGCCGAGGTTGAGGAGTTACGCATGGCTCCTAGAGAGCCGTGCTGCGCATGCGCGAGGAGCAGTGACGAAACGGGCAGGACTGGTATGGCGCCTAGGTCAGTCCCCGATGCACGTGCCGCGCGCGCATGCACCTGCTCGAGATTATGACTCACGCTGTTCAGTTGTTCTGGGCGGCAGCTTGGTTGCTTGATACATAACACAGCACACAGCTGGCCAAATTGACGACGGGCATCCGGCACGCTTCAGCGGAGGACTGAGGATTAATTTGGACCACCTGGGGATCTTTTGACGTGCAACCGAAAGCTCGGTTACACGGTGCTTCCTCCGCAATAAGAAGAGTGGAGAAGCTTAACTCATCGGATCCCGAAGTAGTCACATAATGTGTGTGTGTGTCACTGAAGCAGCAGTAAGCATGATAATCAAGTTAATCCTAGACAACCACGATAGCTAAGAATAACCAGCTGAACCTAAGCTTACGCTACGTATATCCTGGCATCTTACGGCTATTGAACTTGCACAATTACATCTCTATCCACACTACGCTAGACGACACAGAAGAATGACGAAGACTTGTTACTTTTCAACGATACTTAATTCGGATCAAGCCTTCCTTCAGAAAGCAATGTGGCTTTCGAACGATGTTTCAACGGTAACAGCCCCGTAATCGACAGCTTCCGCTTGAAACGTGGACCTGGCATTAGCACTTGCCACAGATTCGTGGGTAAATTGAGCGTACGGTTGTGTAATGAACTGATCCCGAAGAGCTCGCTAGTCTAGCGGACGGCAGTGTTGCGGCGGTGGACATTAATCCGAAGTTAGTTGGTTTCGCAGCAGACGACAGCCTGTTCCCACGGGCCTCGCATTTGCCGCAGAGACACAAACGCTCCCGTGATGCAGTGTCACGTGCCTCGCTTCGATGCTCTTATTGGGTCGCGGGTGCCGTAGCCTCCACAGTTTGCCAAGTTCTCATGAAACGGAGTATAGTGGCAATCCATCTCTCGGCACCACGGGTCCCCACCCAGGGAAGGCCGTAATTAGGCGGCTGTGGCTGAGGCAGTACCTGCGAGCGGAACTCCTTGGGGCAGTGCTCGCAGCTGAACAGCTGGCGCGCGGGCGGTGCAGTGTGGCCGTCGCAGTGCTCCTTGAACTGGGCCATGGTGTGGAACTCCTCCTTGCACACCTTACAGCAGAGCTCTCCCTGGATCGCGTGCAGCCGGATGTGGATCCGCAGCTCCTCTCTGCAGCGCCGCCCAGATCCAATCGCCGTTCCAAACAGTTCTGATTTGAGTATGTCACGTTACACTTCCAAATACAAATTCCCGTTTTCTTGTCGTGTGCTGCCAGTGAACTCTGGCGACAGTCGAGACACTGCACACACTGCTGCACGTTCTGTAGCACCGGGACTACACACTCAGAAGTCACGTGACTCTGCCAAGTCGTGCAATGTCACAGTGTAATGTGATGTTGCGTCACGTCGCATGACGCCGCGACGTTCGGCGGGAAAAGTTTCGTCATTCAAAAATGAATAAAGCAAAACAATAAAATTATGCCGAAATTGCTGCTGTCGCTCTGCCTATTCTCGATGAAACGTGCGAGCGTTTAGCTTTGCTCAATTGCCGCCTATGGTTTGCTCTTCGAATAGCCAATCTGTCCTCCCGGGTGTCGGCAGTTTCGTGCAAATGGCGTCGTCGCTGTGCCTCCGTTTTACGTTTGTCAGCAGCGTGTTATTGGAAGCCTGCCAGAAGACTCTTTCCATCTTACATAAGGGGGAAAGTGGACATAAGGAGCAAACAAACGCAGCGAGAAGAGCGCGTCGGGAACCATGCTGCGACGTCACAAAACCAGTCCAATCCAGCCCGGTCCAGTCCAGTCTAATCAGCCCAAACCAAAGACAGCTGCATGCACCAGGGCAATAAATGCCAAAGCACATGAAAAATAAAAAGCCTTTTTGGCAATATCAAGACCCTAGAATTCAATGCAGGTTTAGGCTGAATGCCCAAAAAAATAAGAGAAACCGAGGAAAAACAGGCTTACGGAGATGCAGTGACGAAGTCGCACACGGTGCACAGGCAGAGGCTGCTGGCCGGCTCCGCACTTGTTCCTGGGAACAGGTCGAGCCCCAACTCTTTGACAAGGTGCAACACAATCGCCCTGTTACTGGTCCTTTCTCTCACCACAAATTTATGTGGTGTCCACCACTAGGTTCATCAAAGTAAATGCCCGTGACACGCTAAGGGGCAATTCTGTACCTGGCGAATACTGCGGGTTATCGACGTCTTCGGAGCCATCCTGCAAAAAAGCAATCGCACTGTCATCGAACATGTCGAACATCTTGAAGGACCTAGGAGGGACACAGTCTACTTACCAACAGTAGGCATTGGACGTCTCTCAAATCTGAAACACCAGGAAGACATAGGGTTCCTTCAGTAAACGACCAGAGAGTGGATGTAAACTTATTCGACAGATGTCTATCAGATTGGGTTAAAATTATGGTAAGAGAAAGCAAGCACCTGAAGAAGAAACAAACTTGGTTGTAAAATGTTGGACCGTCTCACATTAAGAGATTGGTTGGTAGTTACTTCTCTAATAATGACCAAAGAGCAGCGTGCTAGTGGTGTGTCGAATGTTTGGTGCTCATTTCTGCAACAAAATATCTAAATTCTTTGGCATTTCTTTTATGAGGGAAGACTCACCCACAAAAGATTGGCAAGGAAAAAAATTAGGCAAATACGCAGACACTGCTCTTACAATTATAGGGAATGTTAATCTGGTTGCTGGCCCTTCTTGAATTGTAAATCCTCAAAAGGGGGGCATTATGCTGATCGACGCCTACATTCTTAGGATTTGTAGCATATAGGTCCTAACTAAGAGAACAAAAGAAAACGATATATGCTCAACGATCAATCAGATTTTCTGTGTTTATGTTTCCCACCGATACGTCAGAAGGTTATGCGGTGCACATTCATCAGTTTTTCTCGGTAGACACTGAAAACCAGAAACCCTATACATATAGAACACATCAATGTGACTACGTTCCAGACCGAACCAAAATTCTAAACTTTTTCATAAACACCATCTATGATTGTTCGAGCAGAGCTGGATGACTTAGTGCTAAAAAGCGATCGAGTCACTGCTACTTGAGCTGAAATTAATTGAGTTACAGATGTACACTTATGGTTTTAGATACTCACAAGCACCAACAAAGTTAGCTTCAACTGCTTTTAAAATATCCTATGACATTAAAGGGACACTGCCAGGGTATTTACGCTCGCCAAGGTTTTTATTTGTGCATGATATATGAGAGCCCAACTACCCAGAACTGAATTTGCAACTCGAAATTCGTTTTCTTTTTGACCAAAAACCGCCGATCGAGAATTGGTCGGTTTGAGTCACGCTCACTCTCTTCTTTGTGGTCACGTGCGGTTTTCTAGGGTTTAGACGCAACCACGAAATATAATCAAAGTCGTGGGTCATCGAAGGCACACACTCAATATTAAAAAGAGAGAAGAAATATGATACTACCCATTATTTTGTGGCTTCTAAAAAGCCGCAAATATGTTGACTGCAGAAAAGAGAAGTTGCACAGCCACGTGACTTCCGGTAACTTTCTCCTCTTCTAAATTTCTTCTTCCTCTCCAGTCTAGTTTCGGTTTCGGTTTCGAGCAGTTGCGTTTTTTTACTTTATTAGAAATATATGCGACGCTGTAGCAAAATACTGATTGGGTAGTCTTCTGACACCATAATGATTCGCCTGGCAAAATATAAAACAAAACATTTTGGGGGTGTCAGTGTCCCTTTAAGGTGCGTTGCGACCGCGGACAAGTGGCCAAGTTTTCTTTGCGGAAAAAGATGTCGGCATGGCTTCGATCCAATTTGGTGCTCAGCTCGTGGCAGAAGTCCGAGATGGTGACAGCACATACGGTGCCGACGTCGAGACCAAATTGACGTCAATTTTAAAGTAATTTTCAAAAACGTAGCTTTAACCAAATCAGGTTCCAAACTACATCGTTATTGTAAATAAATTACAGCACTTGAAACTGCATCGTAACCTGGGAGCACATTTAGTTACTAAAATTGCAGCCGATTAGTGCATCTTCGGTACTTTCATTTACAAACTTTAGAGCTGAATCTTTAGCCTATATCTCTCGACAACGGCTCCTTGGCTCTCGGTCGCCGAACCGAGCAGGGCCGAGTAACTTGAGTCATGCAACTGTTTGGAGCTGCACTTTAAACGAAAGCAAAAGAGGGAAGCCTCACCTTCGGAGTTGGTGCTGTCGTTTCCCTGCATCTGGCGAGAAAACAAAGGGGACACTGAAGCAGGACTGCAAAGAACCCCGAGCCCACCAAGGAGCCTTGCTCACCTCCATGCCCAGGCTGTCATCATCGACTGAGCTGGCTTCAGAGAGCCCGGGAGACCCTGCAATCCAAAAAAAGGGCTTTCAACAACGACATCAACAAAGCCTTCGAGCAACGAGGAGACGAGCGCAAGCATGGCACACCAACAGATCCTTTCGTCTAATGGCAGTTGCAGAACTTCCCAAATTTCCACTTTTGAGAGGAAACGAGACAGCATGCATCCAGTTTCTAGGTAAGCGCTTGGAAGGCGTCGTACGTGACCCAGTGCACGGAAATCAATCCCCTGCTGCCCCCTTTAGCGTCGTCTCGGTTATGTGGCACGAAGAGGCCATTTGATGTTGCCGTTAGAGCATGGTGTTTAAGTCCCAACAAAGTAGGCAGGTTCACTTTTGAATAAGAATCTATTGCAAAGACAACTGAGGTTGCCACGCATCTTTTTTTTGTTTTTGTTCTGCATGTTTTGTGCGTTTGAAATACACACCGGCCTAAAGAATGTCTGAAAGCATGTGTTGGTCTGCCTTCACCACATCGAAAAATGACTGAATCCAATTTAAGCCAAAAGAGCTCTTGCATCCAGTCGACAAACGGCAACATGCAAAGCTTTTGGACGAAACATGCTACAAAACCGGTTTCGCATCTTTGGAACTTGGCTTTCTACCCCCAAGAAAACACTAGGCTGTCACATTACCATTAATCATTTGCGCCACACTTTTATCGTTCGCACAAAGAAAGGCTCTTTGACGGCTCAATGAAATCAAACAAAGGCAGGAAAGGCAGCGAAAGCCGCCTTTGTCAGAGTGCCCACTTTCGAGAGGTGCAGGTCCTTAGTCGGGCCGCAGTTGGGGTGTGCTGGAAAAGAGGCCAGGAAAGCGGACTCACCGGCGGGGAACATGGTGGGGCTCCCAGGCAGGCAGTCCAGGACCTTGCCAATGGGAGGGAACTCCAGGTCCTGCTCTGTGTCCTGCACAAGGACAAGAAACAAAAATTTCTTAATGTTAAACAAACAAAAAAAGAAGAAAAAAAAAAAAAAGAAAGCCAGGTTTTAGAAGCTTGTTCTGCAGCATGCAGAAAGATTTTTTTTTTCTTTTATTCTTGCATTTTAAGAATGATGTATGTACTTCCAAAAGCTCGGACTCTGTCTGAATGTCCAGCTTGCAGTTGGGATAAGATGCCTAATTTTTAAGATCTATCATAGCCAGAATAGGAAGATAGTAGAATAAAAAAAGTCAATTGGGATGCGTCCGCTTCTGCACGACAGCTAAAGCAAGCAGAGCAAGTTTACTTTCAAGTAAATCTCTTGGATGACGCCACCAGTCGACAGGCTTGCGACCGGACTTTCTAAGTCTAGCATTTTAGTACATTGACTGCACTTGCCACCGGTTTGAGGTTTGATTACTCTCAAACACCTCGAAGACCAAGCAACGAAAAAAGACATCTGCAACACCCAGGAGTAGCCCAAGTCTTTCCTTTTTCCTCATTCGTTCCACATGCTCGAAAGGTTGTCACACTTTGCATTGGAAATGGGGGGCACACCTGTTTCTCCTGGTACACTTTGGGCACCAGCCTGACGACGCAGGGCATGGTTCCTGCATTGAACAAGTGAAATGACGATGATTAGGCCTTTGATGTTCACCCTCGGCTAAGCTGGCGAGAATCTCGGTCGGAACGACCATGACATCCACTCCAACCTCTCCGCAAAAAAAAATTAAAACCATAGCACTCTTCCACAGCCAAGATGAACCAGGCATGACACGTACAAAAGGTCCCTATCAGCCGGCAACCTGCTATAATTCCAAGCGTGAAAAGCAGACATCGAGGAAACGAAACGACATAATTTTCTGACAAGCGGGACGGAACGTGAATAGACTTTCTGCCTTTCTAGTGAAAGCTCTGCTAACGCTAAGAGAGCGTGAGCGGGTTTTCGACTGAGATGGAGCAAGTTTTCGGAGAGCACATGTCACTCACCTGTTTCATCAGGTATTGCCTCGATCCTAACCTTCTGCAAAGTTTGCAAACATGCCTGTAAAAAAAAATCAGCACCATAGCAAACGGCGGAGAAGACATCTCCATTTCCAATGTGCACGTGCCTGCAAAAAAGGTAAACAGGTTCTCTGTGGTGACAGAATGGTAAGTATACCTATCTTTTACAGTTTACCTGGTTGGCAGTCCATTGAACGTTTCCTCCTAGCTTATCAGTTCTGGCACAGCATGTCAAATACCAAAATGAAACACAATATCCCAATTTTTCTTCAAAACAAAAAGAAAAACCTGGTGAGCGGGAACATAGCACATGTGATCTAATCAGGCAGTTGAGTTGTTAGTTTCAGCAGTTGCCACAGACACCACTATTAAACGAAAACCATTTGTGAAAATTGCTTTCTTCTACAAAACTTACAGACAAGTCATCTTCCACAGTGACAGTTCTGACGACGGGTATGATGTCATCTGAAAGAAAACGAAAACAGCCATTTTAAACAAGCAACTAACGCAACAGCACTTTGTCCAGATTTTAAAAATTTTTTTTATTTGGTGTTTTGGATTGGTAGAGTAAAGAAGTTTCGTTCCAGCAGTATATATATATACATATATATATATATCTTTATTAATTTGTTGGTATCTGTATTTATGGTCGGGTCAATGTTTTTCGCGGGTGTAGTGTCAGATGTTCTGCAAAGCATAAACTTTCTTTTTTTTTTTTTTTTTTCTAAAAGTGCAGGGTTTGTTTAAGTTGGGAAGGTTTGTCCTGACTGTTATCTTTTTTTTTAGGTGAGGGGGCATCCCTTTAAGGCGCGTTCACACTCTTGCAACCGAGTACGACCGAGAAAGACTTCTTGGGACCGGATGCACTGAGCGGAGCTGGTCCTAAGAGATCGCAAAAGGCTTAAAAACCGGTTTGGTCTCTCTCGGTCGCACTCGGTTGCAAGAGTGTGAACGGGCCTTTACCCTGTTCTGGTAGTTTGTTTCTCTGTCCTGGTATATTGTGTCCTAGCAAAGGGCAAGTTGTGAGGTTGGTGACCTTGCGGCTGTGTGTATAGGGTGTTTTCAAATGACGACAATCCACCATTTTCGCTGCTAGTTTGTTTTTTCAAACAAATTTACTAATATGAGGGATTACACCCCAACAAGGGGTCATGTAAATCCTTGGAATGCTCATCTTCGGCACACGCCAAACAACTCGCAACAAGAAATAAATCTTTTGGCTGCGTTTGAGATATCTCTTCCGTTTTAGTCCCTTCTACGTTTAAGTTTCTATTCCATACCCCAGTCTCGGGTTGAGTTGCAACATAATAAACATCCACCAGCTCGCATGTACTTCAATTGTTTTTTTTTGTTTTTTTTAACAAACCTATGTTGTCTCAATGACTTGCAAGTGAAACGAGAAACAAAGGATTTCAGATGCTCTCTAGGATGAACTGTCAGATCATCTGATCAAACATGAGGAGCTGTGCTTAGCCACAACCCAATGCATACAATAAACCCAGTTTGCACCAGTGTAAGCACACAATAAACTTGAAAAGCTGATTTGAAGAAACATCAATACCACTTGAAGAAACCTTGAGCCAGTGTGCAAAACTATTTCACCTACTAGCAAGCATGGCACTCCATGCCTAGTAAATTCAGTCGGTTATATACTAAATAAGACAGTAGATAAGACAATCTGACTCGACGGTCAAAATATTATCAGTGATCGAAGGAAACGGCAAAAAGCTCACTGTTGACATGGCTGAATTGGATGCCCAACTTCTCTTCACCACACAGCTTCTGCAAGAAGGGCCGAAAATAAGCGAGAGAAATGTGAATACAAAAGATATCTGCTGTGACAGAACTTTCAGCCGATCAAACTTCCAGCTCCAAACGTTCGTAGTAGGTACAGTACGTACCTGACCTGGGCCCGTAAGAACCAGCGTGAGACATCCACCTACGCGCGAAACGATGCAAGCAAACGGTCAGCAGGTGCCAACTTTTCATAAGTGGTCCGACTGAAAGCGCCAGGAAGAGTGAAGCAGTCGATGCCGAAAAAACATTACTTTATGAAGGATAGGTCTGTAGAGAGAAAACAGTGCGCGGAGAAACATTTTTCAACGTTCCATGGCGCTGCGTGCATCCAGACTGCTCACGATCTGGCGTTTAAACGGCAGAAACCAGAGGCAAGAAAGGTCATTCTGCCGTAATGAGAAGCATTAGAACCGCCTGAAAGCGTTTCGAAGAGAAATAAAGTGACTTGCGTCGCCACCAGTAATACTGGTAATACGCCACTTTTTCTCTCGGAGTGCTAGGCCTTACCTTTTTCGATGCCGTTCGGGAATTCGAGGTCGACTTCTAGGGGACTTGCTTCGACGAAAACACGAATGGTCATCTTGAATGCGAAGGTGGAAGGCTTTGATCGCGTCGGTAGTATCACACGGTCCCCCGAAGCTGCACATTTAGCTGGCTTTTCATAAATCGAGTCGTCGACGCGTGAAAAATGCGTTTGCTCAGCATGATGGTGACCGGGCTCGCGAGAAATCGGACGCTGCGTGAGCCGTGGTTTTGGGACGCAGGACTTCGGGAAGACGCTTTATTCTCACGTGCACGAATCAGTTTTGAAATCTCAAAGGCTTTGTTGATCGCGGTTGTTTTTGACGGAGCGGCCGTGGTGGTCGGTTGTGGCCCCAAGTGCAACCGTGCAATCGCGACAGAGTCGGTCGGTGTTGCTCGAGTCGATCCGCGCTACCGCGCTACTCTGGAACAATGAAACGCCACGTGACAGTTGGCCCGGGAAATTTAAACGTTGGAGCACACCCAAAGGCACGAGACAGCTAAACAGCCCCCTCCACCGGGAGTTGCGTCTCTCTTCTTTTCTACAATAAGCTCCTCCTCAGTCCTCACCCCGGCGCGTTTCGACCTGGATGAACAACGCAACCTTCTGCTGCCGTTTTGTCACCTCACGCTCATCTAACCAACGAAGTTTACCCTGGTTTACCTAACATTTAAAAGGACACTGACAGGAGAATTATGCTCGCCGAGGTTTTTACTTGAGCCCAACTACCCCGAACAGAATTTACCGCTCGAAATTTGTTTTCTATGAGTGTGGTCCCGTAAATATATTCAAAGTCGATTGACATATCCAGGGCACCCATTCAATATTAGAAATAGAAAAGGATACGAACCCTATTTTTTGCGGCTTTCAAAAAACTACAAATACTTTGATTGAGAAACAAACAATTTTCCCAAATTACAGGAAGTATACATGTACCGCGGCGGGCTGGACGACGCGATGGCGGCGTACGACGGATCAATGTTGCGACGGACATGGGACCGCTGCTTCAGAACTGTCGTTCGCGGCACCAGCTAATCGATCTTCAAGTGCAAAACAGCAAGCGAAAGTGCGAAACAATCGCACGACAAACAGCGCGCGGAACTTAGTCGTCGTCGCCGTCTGCAAGAAACAGAAAAAAAAAGAAAAGAAAACATGATGGGGAGCGTGGGGTGTGATAGCCACGTGAGTTCCGGCAACTCCCTCCTCCTTCACATTTCCCCCTCCTCCTCGGTGCGCGTAGTCGGCTATGAATCAAACATGATGATAGACCGCGCACCAATAGACAGAACAGACGAGGTAAGAAGAGAACAGATTATCAACTAGCCCAGCTTAGGGTGCCCTAGCCCAGCTCACTACCTTACTTCGGCTACAAATCTCCGTGCTCATGTTTTGGTTTCGGTTTCGAAGTAGTGAGTTGTCTTGCTTTATTAAAAAAAGGTACGTGACTCTGCAGCAAAATATCGATTGAGCAGTGTCCTGACACAATAACAGATCGTCTAATATATATCTTTCTTTCTTTATATATTTTTTTACCGTCTGGGTGTTTTTGATATTTTGACGCGTGTCAGCCCCGAGGCACCCAAACAAAAGACGAGAAAGACGGGTTCCTTCGAGAGCTGTTGGTCACCTGCGAAGATCGCTTGCTCCACATCTGGATTCCTGACGCCTGAAAGGCGAGTATGTTAGCCCTACAGCAGCCCAATGTCTGCACCGGTCTGCTCATTCGTAAACTTCCGAGTACCCCAGTTTTCATTGGTAGCCTGATAGAGAGGCGTCGAACTATTCAGAAAAAGGGGGGGGGGGGGGGGGGGGGGGCGAGAGAGGTTTTCTACGCTTCGCCACCGCTGTTTCAACGCCACTGAAGAAATGGTTTGACGATCAGTGGGATTCATCCGGTGGCATTTCCGCCGGAGCGACTGCGCTGGGTCGCATTCCAAAGCGGCGCGGCGCCTGCTCGTCTCTGGCTCCGCACCAGCTGTGCGATGCTCGTATTGGTCCGAAGTGTTGACGTCAGCACGCATCACCCTCTCTCTCTCTCCCCACCATCGTGATGAGGCCTGGGTGATACGTTAGAGAGCTTTCGTAGACCGCGTTTCCCCCTTTTGAATCTGTAAACACGGCACCTCCTCACCACACCACTCTCTTCGCGACGTCATGCATGGCGTTGACAAACAGACGCACTGGCTGGCACTGGCTGGTTTTCGTGAAACCAAGTGTTCTAAAGCAAACGCAATAAAACAAATATAGGGTGTCCAGAATGGATCGACGCTTTTTGAAGAACATGGAGGTGTTCATATTAAAAAAAAAAAGAAAAACTGATACACCCCAATTTTTTTTTTTAAATTTTTGCCAGGCGATTTATTATAATGTCAGAAGACTACCCAATAAATATTGGGTAGTCTACTGAAGAAAGTTGGCGGAAGTCACGTGGCTATGTAACTTTTTTTTTCTTTCCAGTCAACGTATTTGCAGATTTTTAGAAGCCACCAAATATAGTAACATACTTTTTTTAGCTTCAATATTTTGTGTGCGATGACCCACGACTTTGATTATATTTGGTGGTTGTGACTAAACCAGAGAAAACGACACGTGACCACAGAGAAGAGAGTGAGCGCGACTTGAGCCGGCCAGTTATCGATCGGCGGTTTTCGGGCGGGAAGAAAACAAATTTCGAGCCGCGAATTATTTTCTGGGAAGTCGGGCTCTCAAATTTCATGAACAAATAAAAACCTTGGCGAGCATAAGCACCCTGTCAGTGTCCCTTTAACGAGACATCACTGTAACCTGTAATTGGCTGTAAGCGCAGGGATGCCTTTTTGCAGGTCGTCAGGGCGCAAGCACGTCACAATAGGGATCACGTGACCACCTTCGTTTCGGTTTCGGTTTCGAGGAGTTGCGTTTTTTTTACATTATTAAAAATATACGTAACACTGTAGCAAAATATTGATTGGGTAGTCTCCTGACACCATAATGGATCGCCTGACAAAAAGTAAATAAAAAAATTGCGGTGGCTTAGATAGGCTATGCCAGGATATACGTACCGTGAGCTTATGCGCACAAAATGAGAGGCGCTATCAAGCAGCTCCGGTGCAGCGTCAGACGTGGCTACTGCGCAACGGAGGCGCATAGCTGGGCACGCGGCGGCGCCAGTGCGTCTGCCGCGGCTATGACGTCACTCCTCTGGAATGCGAAGACCGGCGAGGCGCGCGCGGTGGCGGAGGAACCCGCGGCGGCGGCGGCTCCGGCACGCCAGGGCTGTGTTCCAAAATTTACTCGATCTTACTCCAGGGTAAGGGTTTTGTACCCTTGGCGTTCTAAAACCTACCCGCGTCCAGCGTTTTTCAATCTGTGCTGCCACATGATACGATCCGCCGGAGTAACTCGGATCCATTTGGGTAAGATTTGGAACACAGCCCAGCTGTGCGGCGTGTGTCGTCATTGCCCCTCGCGCTCGCGCAGACCGGCGAGGCGCGCGCGGTGGCGGCGGAGCCCGCGGCGGCGGGACCTCCGTCCCGCCAGCTATGCGCCGTGTGACGTCACTGCTCCTCGCGCTTGCGCAGCACGGAGCACGGCTCATTATGCGAGCCACGCGAAACTGCTCAACCTCGGCCAGTGTAGCTCACGCTACAAAATTCTGGAGGGTGTCAGCATCCCTCTAAAAGCTCAGAAAACTGCAGCCCACTGCACATTTGTTTCAGAAAGTGTGTCTTGAACCGCAACACCGCTTGCAAAACGCAGAAGAGGAGGACAAACACGATAAAAAAAAAAACAAAAAAACACGAAATTCTGGGCTAGAAGGGAGGCGAAGGGGCACGTAGGTGGTCACGTGATCCCTCTTGTCACATGACTGCGCCCTGACGACCTGGAAAAAAAAAAAAGGCATCTCGTGGCGCAGGCTATATGACTTCGACTTCCCCCTCACCGTCGTCGGAAGCGGTGGCCACCATCGGCGGGAATCCGGCTGCTCGGATCCCCGGCACAGAAGACACGACCCCTGTGGCGCCAACGCCCTCGGGGGACTGGAACCCTGCCCTGCGCCTGGGGGCCGCCTTCGTGCTCGTGGCCGTGATCATCGCGGTTCTGGTGGGCCTCAAGACAGCGCTGTTCCGTTTCGATCAGATTCAAGCCAGGTGCGGTTTATGTATAGATGGTTACCTCCAAGTTCCACCACTAACTTTCAAAGTTTTTACGGCTTCGTGTTTAAACGGCCAGACGCCGTGAATGTTTCATCCGCCCGGGAAAGCTGGCGGGTCCTACAGCTTTCCAGCGCTTGACACCTATACGAAAAACGCTGAGTCACTGAGCTGTTGACGCATGCGCGGCATCTGATATTCCGCAGAAGAGAGCTACGATCAAAAGGCGTTTCACGGCTCAGTAGACAAAGGTGGCAGCGCGCAGAATTGTTTCTGGGTTGGCGGCATGCAGGGCATGTACGGAGGCAGGGGCGGGTTTAGGGGGCGAAGGAGCGGGGAGGGGGGGGGTCAACTTTTTAAAAAATAAAATCATTGATATACACCAGCCAAAATTTTAGTTTTTGGTGACATAGCAAATATTTGGTCAACAAAATAGACCCGGGCAACGTTTCGACCGTGTCATATCTCAGCACTGCAGACTCCACCCCCCCCCCCCCCCCCCCCCCCCCCCTTCGAGGCCTGACCCATAAATCCACCCCTGCACGGAGGTGCAGCCAGCAGGCGACATTAGGGAGTTCTAGAATAACGCACGCAATTTTAGCGCACGCTAGCGCTAAATTTAGCGCTTGCGTTAGCGCACTCTATACGCTAGATAGCTTTAGAATAGCGTTTCTCCGCCGCGACGCAAAAGCCCAATCATCTCGCGCTTGGGACGCAACCAAGATAGTCACAATTTTTATTTCACACACGAAATGCTGTTACTTAAGAAAAAAAAAAAAGTTTTTTTTTTTTTTTTTTGGTTGGGAGTAACATTTTGTATTTTGTTTAAACATATGAGAATGCAACGCGAGCGGTCGACCGGTCGTGTCCGCTTGCGTCGCCTCGGCAAGAGAGGTCTCGTGTACTGTCCTTCGCACACCGTACCTTCGCCGAGAAATGTTCGCGCATCGCAAGCATCAAGTTGCCGGTGATCGTTTCCCACATTACTGGGTTTTCCAAACCAAGTGCAATGTCGTCCCGTATCGAAAATCGCAGCCGCGAGGATGCCGCCCACGTGGCGCTCACGACGGCACCGCCTACCAAAGCGGCCGCAGACATGATCCCGGCCGGGAGCCGCCAATTTTTAACAGTGCTCGCCTTAGCTTTAGCCAACTTTTCATCATGAATCCTCCTTGGAGGAGCGGAAAGACTCTTTGCGTACGCACGCAATTTCCGAAAATAGTGTACGCTGAAGTAGCGCACGCAAAGCGCAAAACGTAGTTAGCGTTCGGCGCATGCGCAGTGGCGACGACGCTATTTT